CCTAGCCAAAGCCTAGAGGTCTCTAATTTGAACTATAAAGTTTAACACTTAGAATAGTAAGATATGTCATAATGAAAATTTCTGTTAGATGAAAGATTCACTGCCCCTGAATCAAATAGTCACTTTGCCTAACTGCATTTTAATTTTCAGATATTTTGAAGATGAGGAAGAAGACTCTAGCAATGTTGATTTGCCTTACATTCCTGCTGAAAACTCACCTACCCGCCAGCAGTTCCATTCCAAGCCAGCAGATTCTGACAGTGATGATGACCCCTTGGAGGCATTCATGGCTGAGGTGGAGGCAAGTGTCAACTCTTTAGAAGTTCTTAAAATATTCAGCCATCAGAAATCAAGTTAACCTAGCACTTCATTTCTAATTACGAGTTTGTTTTCTAGCCATTTTATTTGAGAATTTTCCCCTACTATGCTACAATTTCGTAAGTTAACTTCCACTTGCACTACAGTATTTTCAGAGATGATCAGTGGCTAGAAAGGTGAATGGTCTCTTTTTTCTTTCTTTCTATTCAACTTTTATTATGGAAAATTTCGGATACATACAAAAGTAGAATAAAATGACTCCCATGTACTCATCATGGAATTTTTTCAATTAACAGCTTTTGGCCAATCTGGTGTATCTGACCTCTCCCCTACCTGGTTCTTTTTTAGATTATTTTGACATAAATCCAGAGATACGATTTTATCCATCAGTATTTCTATACGTGTCTCTGTAAGACAGCTCTTGAAAAACATAACCAGCTGCTCAAAGGACATGGAGGCGGCATCTTCTGACCTCTGGCTTAACAACAGGAAGACAGAATCACCATCCGCAGCCCAGGGCTTATTCCTGTGAGGCCAGACATGCCGCCGCCACCTGCAAGCCTTTTTACCAACTTTGACACCAACCGTGCCTCCCACGGTACCCACTACTTGTCTGTCTGCTGGGTTTGATAATTCATTGCAGTGGCCACACACAACTCACAGACAATACTCACGATTATGAGGCTTATTAGGGAAGTAACAGGCTACAATTCAGATTAGGGAACACTCTCAGGATACAATTCTTCCTTCAGGACAGTCTCCCCTCTGCTGTGCTCACAGACATGCCTCTCTGGCCCTTGGCCTCTTGGTCTGGCTTCTGCTTCCGTGGGCCAGGTCAGCCTGCCACTCTGTCTTGTGCCTCTCCACTATCTCTCTGCTGGGGCTTCTCTCAACCAGGGAAGTCTAAGTTAGGGGGTCTTAGGTCCTAAAGACTCACTCTACTTCACCTCCAGCTCTTCTCTCTTGATGGCAATGAGATGCCTTCTTTGCCTCCAGGAAGGCTCATCTTGAGCCTGGCAGAGTAAAAAAAAAACTAACCAATCCCAACATCAGAGTTCTGTACACCTTATTAGCATGGTGTCCCACCCAGTAATCTGGTGGGAGTTACAAAGACTATGGCTAGAAAAGCCATACCAGATCATTCACTGCACTGCTCCAGTGTTTCATTGTTGTACCTAAAAAAAAAAAAAAAAAATCATTAAATATCCATCTGACTGTATCTGTTATTCTTGTGATTTTACCCAGTTTCTCAAACATGCAGGTTCCCATATAATTCTATATATTAATTTGCTGTGTTCCCACTTTACACATTCCTTGGTGACCTCATCCACGTCTGAAACTTCTGTGGGACTATTTTTCACACTCGTGTCTTGGTGTCATGCTCTCTCTCTGGTCTCAGTCTTGCCTTTCCAGAAGCATACTGTTCTTTCTACATGTGTGTGTCCCACTGACAGTTTAAACCCACCTTATCATATTGTTCTTTCTACATATGTGTGTCCCACTGACAATTTAAACCCAACTTACCATCTTTCTTCCTCAGCTAGGTTTTTCTCTTATCATACCTATTTCTATTAATGGTGCCAATATTCACACAATCACCTCAGCTTAAAACCTTGGTTTAACGTCTTTCTTTCACTGCCCTCCCTGCTCTGACGCCACTGCCCCCCCCTGCTGTTCTTACTTTTTAGCAGATGATAAAGCATGTCCTTGACTTACTTCATTTAGTCTCCCAGAATAACCACGGAAAATAGGCAGAAAAAACATTATATCAAATGATTACATAATTTAACTGATAAGAAACCTGAGCCTTAAGATAGTTTGGATCACTTGCCTCTATCACATTGGTACTGTGTGGCAGATCTGGCACTCACGTCTGATTTTTCTGGTTCAGTAGTAGGCTAGCTTTTTTCAGTACATCGTGCTGTTCTTCATCTCATTTGCCAAGTTCTGTCAGTCTTTACAATGTCATTGCATCTGTTCTTTTCTTTGGGTTCCCATTGCAGTTGCCCTACTTTATACCCTCACTAACTCTTGGCTCGTTGTTCTTAATGCTGTCCCTGCCTTTACCGCTCTTTGATTGTCTACAGCTATAGAGTAATTAGACTACAGCAGATTTCTTCTCATGGTGTTCTCCCCCTTACTCAAAAACTGTTACTGGTTATGAAATAAAACCCTCCTAGTTCCTTAGTTACTTGTTACCTGAAGTCTTCAGCCAGAATTTGTATCGCCTCTAAGGAAAGAGAAAGAAAATCCAAGATAGGCATCCTTTTGTTTGGTATGGACTTTTTTTTTTTTTTTTTTAAACAAGCCAACATTTTTAAAATCGGGAGATTCTATCTAAAAGTTCAGACTATTGGAAGTTTTGAAGTCCTTTATAGCTTTAAATGTATCATAAACTTAAGAGAGAGACTTAAAAATATGATCAGAGTTTAGGTATTTATGAATCAAGCACAAGTTTTTTGAAAATTTGAGTATTTTTCATTGAAATGCATTTGTCAAAATGCAATTTTATGTTTTCTGGGGACATTCTACACTCTAGCTAATGCTAATAGGGCACTTATTCCAACGAAAAAATTCTTTATGAAGAATTTTTCATGTTTTTAGTTGGTGTGATTGCATATGGCCTTTTATTTCACTAGGATCAGGCGGCTAGGGACATGAAGAGGCTTGAAGACAAGGACAAGGAAAGAAAAAACGTGAAGTAAGTTGCTTTCTTCTTCTTCACAGAGGTTACATGGTAACTGCTAAAGTATTACAAGCCTGTGCCCCCAAGTTTATAGAAGAAAGTTGTAAATATACAAATGTCTTGATTTGAACTTTCCCCTGTATCTTGACTAGTATTTCTGTAGGTAGGAGAGATGGCCAAAGTCTTTGCATTTGCAATAATTAAAGTATTCTGTTTGGTATAATATAGTATTTGGTGTCAGACTATAAATAGTTGTTTAGTAAACACAAATTAATTACAGTGGGGGTTAGATGAGTGTTATAACTAACGTTTGGATTCAGTGTTCCTTGTTTTGTCCCATATTAATAGAAAATAGGGTGAATACCTATATGATTAATTAAGAGAAATAATAGTGATACATGAAAAATTATGCATATCATTAACAGTAAAACCTAATTTCATTTAAGGAGTGGCATCATGCTTTAGCAAACGTAGTCAGAAGTTGAAATACTTTATTTTCTGGGAAAGGAAATTTTCCCCCTCCCCACTGTGTGAATATACCTCCTAAGACTTTTGCTAGCAGACACAAGTAGACATGGTTGGACTTTTTTCTCCCTCTGCCTGGCCATCAGAGCTTCAGGCCCTCCCCGAGGTTCTTGCGCCCTGTGGAGGCCCAGCTCTCCTTCAGTTCTCACTGTGTAGTGCATCCTCGTCCAGCTGCCCGGTGCTGGCAGTGTAGCTTGTTGTTTGCCTTAGGAATATCCAGTGCTGTGGGTTCGGCAGAAAGTCTGACTAGAAAGAGATGGTTGTGAGAACCAAGCAACCATACGTCTTACAGCTTACCTTGAGGGATGCAGCAGGTGGTGATGGTCCCCTTCTTGTGAACTGCTTAGGGGTTTTAGGCCCAAACTCAAAAAAGAGTTCATGTAGTTTTACCCTCCGTCCCCAAGGTAACAGATTTTGACAGAGCTGCAAATTCTAATGGCCGTTAAGAACATTGTGACTTTTTTTTACCCCATAACAAATGTATACACTTGGAATTCACAAATGGATATAGGATTTTATCCTATTTTTAAATATAAAATATTTTGCAAAACTGCATCATGTTTGTTATGTGGGGTTGGCAAGGCTAGGATCCTTTGGTATCTATCTCTGTAAAGTTCTTGTTCTTTATCCCTTGTTAGTAATTTGGTATTGCAGAGATACCGCACCATACCATCCAAAAGGAATGCAAACTAAAGCTTATAGCAAAACCACACATATATTATGGGTGGATAGTTTATGGTATGTGTATTGCTGCTTTGTTACTTGTTAGTGTTGAGAGTTCCTGCACTGAATGGAATCCAACACTAATCTGCTGTAAGTGTGGTGCTGGGTATGTGGAACATTTGCAGGGAAGTTTGTTTCTCCGCTTGTTTTTCCAGGGGTATTCGAGATGACATTGAAGAGGAAGATGACCAAGTGAGTTCCTATGCAGTATTTCTATCTTTTATTTTTACCCCACAAAGTCTCTACTGGGGACAAGCTAGAGCTTGCCTTCCCTGAGAGGGCCATTCCTGACATTCAGCAGGAAATACCACTTGACTTGCTGCTGTTGACCAGTTGGTAATAGAAAGATCTACACAGCTTCCCTCATGTTGAAGATGGAACTTTTGCTCAACTATGACACAAACAACGAATAGAAGCTTTATACAGAGTGTTGGTTTTTTTAATCCAAAATTAATGTTTATTTGGTAAATGAAGAAGTAGAGTAGTGAGAGATCTGCTGAGAGTCCTGGCTGTATCAGGTCTCTGCCTCTCAGAGTTCTGTTTGTGTTTCTTGTATTTCAAGATGGAGCTTTAATTTAATGACTGTCCTTTAGTATTTTTTTTTCCCACTGTTCAGTTGTGGGATGGTGAGAAGAGAACCATAGTGAGCAGTAACCCTTTCCAGGTTTGTGACCTCTCTAATCAGTGTCAACTTTCAAACTTGGATTGGTAAAGCCGTGGCAGTGTAGATAGTAGCTTCTCCCCAGGAAGGCTATGGGACAGACAGATGTGTAAGTCTTTAGTTGAACAGGTTAAATCATTTTGTAATACTAACTGGCTCATTCATTTCTTCTGATTGTCCCTCTGAATACTGCTATTATTAAGAGAAGCATTACTAGAAAGAGTCTTGCCTGCCCCGGTAGGTATTTAAACTGTTCGATCATCTGTTATGCTGTGTGCGTTAGTTACAGCAGCAGGAGCATTCTCTTTTGTACTTGGATGTGATTATGTTCTTGTGCTTTACTGCAGGAAGCTTATTTTCGGTACATGGCAGAAAACCCAACTGCTGGCGTGGTTCAGGAGGAGGAGGAAGATAATCTGGAGTATGACAGTGATGGGAATCCAATTGCACCATCCAAAAAAATCATTGATCCTCTTCCCCCCATTGATCATTCAGAGGTATGGTGTTTCTTGCTGAGTTTAATTCTTCTTCAAGCTGAGACCATTTACTTCAATATCTACGTACTCCTGATTCATCCTATGTAGGGAGAATATTTGTTCTTCGGGATCTTGTCATCTCTGCAAAGTGGTTGAGTCAGATTCCATGAGGCCTTACAGCCTATGCTGTTGTTGAAGATACATCTGAATCACTTGCTCACAGTGGATTTAAGGCTAAAATTTTTTTTTCACGCAGTTGTACTTGTGTTTTGGAACCAACCCTTGCCATCTCTCTTTCAGAATGGACACTTAGGCCTGCACTTATTTTTTAATGAATGTAAACCTTTACTATTGCTTACAGATCTAGAGTAGATGAGAGACTGCTCTTTGAAAGTAAAGCCAGGGATTATAGATTATTTAAATCAGGAAAAGGAAAGGCATTATAGTCACTTGGGGAAAAAAAAATCAGTGTATTTCATTAAGGTTGAACATCACACTACATGTTGTGTACCCTAGTGATTTTAGACCTAGAGCAGTGACTCTCAAAGTGTGGTTCATGGACCCTTGGACGTCCCTCACAGCCTTTCAGGGAGTCCACAAGGTCAAAACCATTTTCATAATAATACTAAAATTACTTGCCTCTTACTGTGTCAGCATTTGCATCCGTGCTGGTATGAAAGCAATAGTGTACAGAATGGTGTGGTAGTGGCATGCATCTGACCTCTAACTTCACAAGGGGGAGAGAAATCACCAGCAGCAGCCTGAGGCTGACTGAGACTGAGGTCAGACATGCTGCCACCCTCCAGCCTGTTGATCAGTTCTGACACCAGCCGTCCCTCCTGTGGCTCACTCAGCTTCTCTTCTGGGTTCTATAATTCTTTGCAGTGGGCACACAGAACCCACAGACAGTACTCACGATCATGAGATTTATTAGGGAAGTAACATGTTACAGTTCAGAACTAAAAATGGTCAGGATACTGTTCTTTGATCAGGACAGCTTCTTCTCAGCCATGCCCTTAGGCACACCTGTCCTTGGCCCTGGGTCTCTTAGTGTGGCCTCTGCCGCTGCTCAGGCAGGTGTTGCTCTTTTAGCTCTGCTGATAGGTACACCCCACTCTGCCAGCAAGCTTCCTGCCCAGAGGTACTAAGCTAAGTCTGCTACATGGCCTCTCTGTCTCATGCTGGTCTCATGGTTCCGCTGCCTTTGCCGTCTCTCTCTGTGTCTCAGCACAGGGATCTCGGGTCCAAGGATGTGCTTCACTCCCAGCTCTTCTCTCTTGATGGCAGTGAGATCCCCCTTTCTGGCACTGGGGTGGCTCATTTTAAGCCTAGCAACATGACAAAACTGACCAATCCCCACGTTAGGGTTCCATACCCCTTTTTTGTGTGGTCCCACCCACACAAGGGTGCCATGTACTTTATTTACATTATTAATAAGCTATCTAATCCATTGGGAGCTCTGGTAGCATAGTGCCTAAGGTACTTGACTGCTGACCAGAAGGCTGGCGGTTTAAGCCCACCAGCCACTCCTTGGAAGGAAGGTTGGACAATCTACTTCTATAGTGATACCGCCTCAGAAACCCAAGGAGGGGTTACTATGAGTTGAATCTGACTCGACGGCAGTGAGTTTGTTTTTTTGGTTAATCCAATCCACTTGGTGGACCACAAAAAAAACTCTGCCATCGAGTTGATTCCAACTCATAGCAACCCCCATTGGGTTTCTGAGGTGTTAAATCTTTATGAAAGTAGATTGCCCCATCTTCCTTCCATGGAGTGGCTAGTGGGTTTGAACTGCCACCCTTCTGGCTACTGGTACAATGCCTTAGGCACTGCACCACCAGAATGCCTTTGGTGGGCCACAAACACCTTGTATTTGTATAGTTCCACCCAGTCATCTAGGAGCTCTGGTAGCATAGTGCCTAAGGCACTTGACTGCTAACCAGAAGGCTGGCGGTTCAAACCCACCAGCCACTCCTCAGAAGGAAGGTTGGGCAATCCTACTTCTGTAGTGATACTGCCTCAGAAACCCAAGGAGGGGTCGCTATGAGTTGGGGCCAACTCGACGGCACATAACAACAACAACCCAGTCATCTAGTGGAAGTCATGAAGACCGTGGCTAGAAGAGCCACAGGTGATGAAACAGCTGATGATGTTAGCACAACTCAGCACCACTCCAAGCAGTGGCATCAGACCGTTTTAGTGGTCATTCTCGCTTCCAGACCATCAGTTTCACGTAAGAATCTTCTTGATGAAACAGTAAAAGTAATTATTTTTATTAAATCTTGATCCTTGAATCACAAGTCGTTTTAATATTCTGTGTGGCAAAATGGGAAGGACACATACAACATTCCTGTTACACAGCAAAATGTGGTCATTGTTGGGATCTGGAAGAATACTCATGTTTGAGTTGTAAACTGAACTAACTGCTTTTTTCATGGGATGAGTAGCCCTTCCAGGAAAACAGTTGGCACTGTTTCATGCCAATGATAACAATTCAAGTTTTCAAGCAAAAATTAGAATTTGGAACGCTTGTATCCATCACAGTGGGCTTGACAGCTTCCCAACACTTAAAAGACTTTTTTGATGAAATTGATGGTGGGATTAACAAATGTGGGTTTTTTTATATTATATATCGAAATGTGTCAGCATTTGGAAGATCTTAATACCTCAGTGAAGCAACATTTTCCAAATGACCAATGCAGGATGTTACAAATCATACATAAGTAAAATAGCCATTCAAAGTATTATGACAGACTAATGAATTATGGGCCCCCGGGGATGGCCTCAGGGCCTCGGGCAGTCAGCTGCCACACCCAAGGCTGGGGGTTCAAACCCACCGGCCGCTCCCCGCCAGGTAGATGGGCCATCTGGGAGCTCTGGTAGCATAGTGGCTAAGACACTTGCCTGCTAACCAGACGGCTGGTGGTTCAAACCCACCAGCCACTCCTCGGAAGGAAGGTTGGGCAATCCTACTTCCGTAGTGATACTGCCTCGGAAACCCAAGGAGGGGTCTCTATGAGTCGGGTTTGACTCGACGGCACATAACAACAACAACAACAATGAATTATGATTTTAAATCGAGTATGAAAAATTCATTGCTGTGGTTTCAGATTTCACAGTGCAAATAACCTTTAAGAAGCAAGTCACCCTTTGTTAAGTTTTAGTGTAGTATCAAAGAAGAGTTACATTCACATGTATCTGAAAAGGCTATTAAAGATACTTTCTTTCTTCTCTTTGCTAACTGCATAGCTTTGTGAGACCAGATTTTCTTTGTAGACTTTAACTGAAATAAAGTATCATAGCAATTTGCAAGCAGGATAGGAGCATTTTTCTTTTAAGTCAGACAGACATCAAAGAGTGCCACTCATCTCACCAAATCTTTTTTGGAAAATAAAGTTATATTTTATCAATATATTTATTTTAAAGCATAGTGGGTTCATTGTTACTTTAGAATGCATTGACAAATATTTTTTAATTTCAGTTTTAACTTTAATATGGTAAATATTGAAAGATATATGCCACATATACAAAAGCTTGTGTTTGTTTTGTAGGTGTAAAGGGGACCCGAGCACTGTTGGTCTAGACTAGCATGTGGGTTTTATTCAATTTTTAAAATGTTACCTGTTACACAAAGGCTACCATATAATGCTTTGGCATGTCACACATGGCAAATGAAATTAAATATGTGAAACTGATCTGGGAGGAAGCGTCCATGGTAAAGAGTAGAAATCAAGTAATGAAAAACACAAACACTTTAAATAATCATCTCATAAAGCGTTTGAGATACTTGACAAAGCGGCCAAGCTGGGTCATCATGCTGGAGTATCCCATGGTTGTCCTCACGTGACAGTCTGCCTGGAGAGAGCAGAAGGGAAGTGAAGCGTAGTGTCAGACCTTACTACTTCAGGCAGAAGCTTTGGATTTTGAGTTGCATCTAGCCTCTCCTCGGTGAAGAGAAGAGCAAGCCTGTGGCTCATCCTAGTGCCCCTCGCTTATTCCACTCCCTCCCTTTCCGAGGACGCTTCTTCCCTACTCTGAGGAAGTCCGTGTTACGGGGGTGGGGGGAGTCTGGAGCAGTCAGTTAAGTTTCTTCACACAGTTATTCCAGTCCCCTAACTTTCTGACACTTTCTTTGTGCATTGTCTTTCAAATGCCTTACACAAGTCTTCTGCCTGTTTTAACCTTTCATGTTCATGTGTTTGGGGTACATTTATGAACATAGACAAAAAATGTTTGCCCCCTTGGGAGTTGCCATTGTGAGAGAAGAGATCTAAAAATTTTGTTGCAGCTTCGTATAATGTTGTAGGAAACATAAGGAAAGGTTCTGCCCATTTAAAATGCTAAAAGGGAAGTTTTAGATTATATTCCAGAATTAGGCTTTTTTTTTTTTTTTACTATGTTGTTAGTGGGAGCTCTGGTAGTGTAGTGCCTAAGGTACTTGACTGCTAACCAGAAGGCTGGCGGTTCAAACCCACCAGCCACTCCTTAGAAGGAAGGTTGGGCAATCTACTTCCATAGTGATGCTGCCTCGGAAACCCAGGGAGGGGTCGCTATGAGTCAAGTGCGACTCAATGGCACATAACAACAACATATTGTTAGTTGGCCGTTGGGTTGATTTATTACAGATAGTTCATGATGTCAAAAGAGAAACATTTATCCACATTGTTACAGTGATGTGCCTGCTTTGTGTCCCTAGTACGGTAAAATGTGGAAAGATTAGCAGGAATGATTTCTTTCCTCTTTGGAATTGGAAATGCTTGGCCATATGTGTTTTAAAAGATACATGAATTTGCTCTTTAAGCTTTCATCCAAATCGCAATAAAAATAAAAAAAAAAAAAGTTATACATGATCAGTTGTTTTGAAAGGACAGAACTCCTCCTAAAGGCAGAGCTGTTTCTAAAGGAAATATTAGAAATGTTTAAATCCTGGAGCTTGGTGAACAGCTTCCTACTCTAGAACATATTCAAACGCTTTAGGGTTGAATACTGCTTTTAAATACTTGTCCTCTGAGACTTCTAGCATTGTACAGATTGCTTAATCTGCTTCAAGTTTGTACAAATCTGTGATGACCTGAAGAGTCTCTTTAGGATGTAGATGTAGGATGTTGATGTGGAAAGAGAGAATGGGAAGAGGCATTGGCTGTACTTTTTGGAACATACATCATGAATGAGTGAATTCCTCTGTTCTCTCTAGCTGGTTATGGCTTTACTTGTGTGATATGTATAAAAGCTTATTTTGCAATAAAATCAAACTTACAGGATTGACTCTTGAATTCTAGACTAACTTTGAATAATTGGACCTGCAGATTGACTATCCACCATTTGAAAAAAATTTTTACAATGAGCATGAAGAGATAACCAACCTCACTCCACAGCAGTTAATAGATCTCCGGCATAGGCTCAATCTTCGGGTAAGACGCTGTTGAACCAAATGTTCCTGTATCAGTGTTGATTAGTCCAGGTTTTGTTCTTGCTTAGCCAAACTAAAATGACCTTGAATTTCTTTTCTAATGGTCTCTGAACTATCTTTGATAAAATAATAATTGATCCTTTGGGCTCATGGGTCTTGCTTTTATTGTTTTCATCTTCCAGATAGTATTTTAGTGTGGGATCATTTTTCCTTTCATGTGATAAACATGAATGCTATACAAAGTTCAGTCAACTTTGTATGTTAACATTTGGGAAAGATAAGTCATTTTGACCTTGAGGTAAGTATCTCCAGAATATATACCATATGCTAAGCACTGTGCTATGTGGAGATAAAGAGTAGAAGTCCCCATTGAGGAAGAGGAAGCAAAATTAATAAAGGTGAACAATATAGGAACTGAGAATGTTTGGAAATTAAGATATACTTGCTTCTCAAGTGACATACAGTACACTTTTTTAAAAAAACAAGCAATTGGCAGCTTTAAAAAATATTCATGTGTTGACTTCAGAATAATAGTTTAAATTGCCCATTAAAACATTTTGGGTTGCACATGGACCAGTTTTTTAGGGTACAGCTAGGTAACATTAGTTTATTGAAACTCACACAGATACTACACTCTTGCCTGCTCTCCTGTGGATGACTTTCTGGCCTGTGTCTGGCTTACCACTTGCTGCATAATGTTCAAATTCCTCTGTTTTCTGAGAGGCACCCCCCCATCCCCAAACTTAAGTGAAATTCTGATTGGAAATCAGCAGCATCACCTAAGAACTGTCTAAAGATGCTACTATTAGAGTCAAGATGAAGGTTATAAACTTAATTCTTCATCTGGCAACACTGTGAACAGTGTTTGACAGTGACTGGGCTTTCAGTAAGTGAGACATTAACTCTCAGGAGTAACTGGAAATGGAGACTTTGCAGCCAGTGGCAGGTGGACATACGTCCTATTTAGCACATTTGAACTTTTCATTTTATTTCAAAAATAAATTGTAGTGCATTTATTTCCCTCCCATCTGAGTATGCAAAATGGCAACGACAAAAAAGAAAAAGAACGTTAGTAGCTTTTCTAATTCATTGGATGGTAATTCTTTTTTATTCTTATGAGAAAATTAATTTTTATTTGAGATATTTTTAGGCACTTAATTGTTTTAAATCATAGTAAGAGTTAAATCATGTCAGGAGTATTTACCATGAATTTATTTAGTTGAAGTTTGATAACAGTTTCTACTTGAGGTTTTACCTTTTCAAACAGTATGTGCTTTTGACTGTAGACTTACATTTTTTGCCCTTGAGTTGATTTTGACTCGTGGAGGCTCCATGTGTTGCCGAATAGAACCACACTTCTAGGGTTTTCATGGCTGTGACCTCTCAGAAACGTATTGCCAGGCCTTTCTTTTGAGGTGCCTGTGGGGGGCTCAAAGTGCCAGCCTTTTGTTTAACGTTTGAGTGCTTAACCGTTGGTACCACCCAGGAACTCAAGCTAAATAAGGTTCAAGTAAATGTTGAGCTTCAAATGCTGTTGATTGTTGACTACAAGCCGTTCCTGGAAGTTGTCTTTGTCTGTAGGTCTCTGGTGCTGCACCTCCTAGACCAGGAAGTAGTTTTGCACATTTTGGGTTTGATGAGCAGCTTATGCACCAGATTCGGAAATCTGAGTACACACAGCCCACTCCGATACAGTGTCAGGTGAGTGGAAACGAGAGAAAAATGAAGTAGAATGGTATTGAATGACTGTGTTTTGTAAACAAATCAAAGTAACAAAACAGTATTTAGTGCAGAACTGTATTGATATGGATGAACTGTGTCCATATACATCCTCTGTGACTCAGTCTTCAACTTTTTTAATTGAGGAAAAATAAGAGCCTTAATATACATGAAATGCAGGAGTATTTTGGAACCTTTAGAAATTAAATATAATAGTGAATTACTACTACTTCCAAGAACTTGCTAAGGGGCTGGGAAATCGTCTCTTGTATCTGATAAATGCTGTGAAAAAATGCTTTGAAATATCTGATAAATGCTTTGAAAATAATGAAGGAAATAGTTCATTCCGGGGGGCCCAAGCCTATCAAAAAAGTTTTGTGAATGGACAAACTTAGGACTAACAATGACTTAGGGTTTCTTTGTCCATGACCTGAAAATTCTGTTTTATTACTGTCGTCTATGAGAATAATCGTTTTTGTTTCCTCTGCCTATTTAGAATTCATTCATTCCTTTATAGAAAAAGAATTTTCTCTATGAATGAGAAAAGAAAACTTTTTAAATTTTAGTAACCATTTCCATTATTAATTGTAGTTTTTATCCCTAATTTTAAGTAAAGTGGGGTCATTCGTATTCTGTAACTGGTGGCTGATCCACGAGAAGAGAATATTATTATTTCCTTTGTGATCAAGAAGTTTATGGGAATGGCAGATGTTTCTCTCTGTCACATAGCCGGTATGCATAGCCTGGAATGTTTTTGTTTGTTAGAAAGGAGTGTCATTTATCTTCCCCAGGATTCCTTCAGTACATCTTTGGAATTGAAATTTTAGAGTGGGTATGTTTCTTTTTCTCCAGGGTGTGCCTGTGGCATTAAGTGGTAGAGACATGATTGGTATTGCCAAAACAGGCAGTGGGAAAACTGCAGCCTTTATATGGCCCATGTTGATTCATATAATGGACCAGAAGGAACTGGAACCAGGAGATGGCCCGATTGCAGTGATTGTGTGTCCTACGAGGGAGCTTTGCCAGCAGGTGGGTGCTTCGTGTATCCACCTTCCATCTGTGAACAAGCAGGGGACTAGCAGTCACGTGGGCAGAATTACTGGGAAATTTGGGGAAGGTATTATGTGCTCTATCAAACATGATTCTTCCCCCTAGGAAGGGCTATTTTAAAAGAAAAAAAGTAATTGTTATGATACAGAAATTGTAACATCAACTCCTAGTGTTTCCTCCCAAGTGAATTCATTTTGCTTGGTAGAAAGGCAGTGACAGGTTCAGGAAGAGAAGTGGGGAGAAGAATGAATAGTCATGTCAGGAGTTCAGATAGCTTGTTGAGGTGTGCTAATCGTATTCTGCTGTTTATTTACTTCCTTTTGAATAAAATTGTGATTTTAATGCATGTTCTGGCTTTTGATTTTCTGTGACATCACCCTGTATGTTTTTCAGAACTCCCTTTAATATGTCACTAACAACTTTGTAGATCCATGCAGAATGTAAGCGGTTTGGGAAAGCATATAATCTTCGATCAGTGGCCGTCTATGGAGGAGGAAGCATGTGGGAGCAGGCCAAGGCCCTTCAGGAAGGGGCAGAGATTGTTGTGTGTACCCCAGTAAGTATGTCTGTGGTTTGAATGGCTTCTCAGCCTCCCTTGGTATGGACAGAATAGGTAGTTATTAGAAGGAATTTCCCCTAATATGTGGTAAAGACTATGGCTTTGGCTTGGTTTTGATTGGTTGAGTAAAATAGCATGCAGTAAGAGTCTCTGACAAATATACTAGTAGCTCCAAATTCCTCTCTATTTCAAAGAGATTTTTGTACTCTCCTAGAAATGGGTCTGTGGCTACTGAGATGAGAGCGTTGAGAACAGAGAAATGCAGAGCATGGTCAGAACGCCCAGGAGCCTACACTGGATGCTGAAACTCGTCAGTAGGCTTGAAATCAGATCACTTGAGAAGGCCTCACAAAAGTGGGTCTGGCCGCTTTCCCATAGATTTTAAATCCTAAATTAATGTAAAGGCAGAATCTAGCCGAGTTTTTGAAATTTCTGTTTTCTTGGGCTCTGTAGTGCATAAAGCCTGAGACTGTCACGTTAGCACTTTCGCCAGTAGCACAGTTCTCTGAAGTTCTTCTGAATCCCTTTAATTCTGAGTACTCAATTTCTGGATGTCACAGGGCCGGCTGATCGATCATGTGAAGAAGAAAGCTACCAATCTTCAAAGAGTCTCTTACCTTGTGTTTGATGAAGCCGATCGAATGTTTGACATGGGTTTTGGTATGCTCTAAATATCAGTTTCTTTTGTCCCTATCCTGATGATACTAGTTTATTGTATATATTTTTAGACTTACATTTTTTTTTTTTTCTGTATGAGAGAAGCTTAAAATACTCCTGGGTGGTGTTAGACTGTAGAGATGTAGCTAAGGCCTTGGAAAATTCAGAAAAAGTATGTTAGGCTGGATTGAGTTGAGGAACTCTGAAAGTGCTTTTGCATATAGTAGTAGTTTTTCTTTTAGCTTTTGTGGTGGTCATGCTTCGTGTTAAGTGGGAGAGTGTCAAACCATTCATGGTGTGTTACTGTCTTGTCTTCCTTGACTTACTCAACTACTTAGGGAAAACTCAAAGTAGCCATCTCTGTTGATTGGTACACCACCAGACCCAGCCTAGGTGGGTGGAAGGAAAGTTTTGCCCCATTTCATACTGAATGATATGTGCAGGAGTTAACCAAATTTCCTCAATTCTGTTAACTTCTCATGAAGATTTTTACTAAAATTACTTTTTCTAGGCACCCCAAAGTGTAGTACTGGGCTGCTGTTAACTGTATTGTTCTGCTTCTTCCAGAGTACCAGGTGCGATCCATAGCAAGTCATGTCCGTCCTGACAGACAGAGTACGTATGGCGCAGCTCTACCACACCACATTTATACTCAGGATAAACACGTATTTATTTTATGAGCACTCACAGCTGTAGAAGCAAAAATGATTATGCATGTGCTGGTGAGACCATGAAGGGAGAGTTGATGATAGATAGTTCATCCAACCTGGGGAGGCCATGGCAATCTTACTCATTTTTATAGATGGGAAAACTGAGGCTCAGAGATTAAGTGACTTGCTCCAGTTTATACAGTTTTATCTGTGGGTAGAGGTAAGACAGTACAGATTTGCTGGTGTGAAGTCAAGAGCCTTTTCCTGAACCAGGCTGACAGTCTGTGTCTTAACTGAAAATGCAATGAAAATAGAAAAAGGGCAAGTCTTTTTCTCTCCGGTGAATTATTTTTTTCACTAAATTTAAAGTTCAGGTGGGTTTGTTTTTCAAAAACCTAAGTAATTCTGAATATCAGTAGGAAGCCTGATGGGAATTTGACAAAGAAGTCCTGCTGTTTCTTTGACAGAACATGCTTTTCCTCTTAGCTCTCTTATTCAGTGCAACTTTTCGAAAGAAGATTGAAAAACTGGCCAGAGACATCTTGATAGATCCTATTCGAGTGGTGCAGGGAGATATTGGAGAGGTAACTCTAATGGAATTAATATCTCACTATTAAAATTATAGGAATGCTTTTATATATTTATAGATGAGGCAACAATGTTTTAGATTTGCTTTAAAATACACAGGTAGATGAAACAAGTTTGGCAAAATGTTGATTATTGTTCAAGCTGGGTGATGGGTACCTGAGAGTGAATTATGTTCATCTCACTTTTTAAAAAATGTTTGGAAAGTCCCATAATAAAACAGTTTTTTGAAAGTTTTTTTTTTTTTTAATAATAATAATGCTCTGCCTGGAAGATTCTCAGTGAGTTTTACTGCATTAGTAGACTTAATATGCATATGAAAAAGAATGGCAGGGTATTGGGGCTTATAAATTAGTTGAGTTTATGTATACACAGAAGAGATGGGGAGAGCAAAGTGAATGAGGGGAGTAAGTTGTGAGCTGGATTTACTTGCTCAAGGAAGGCCCTAAGAGAAGAGGGGTTATTCCGGGCTCTTCTGGATGTGGCTAGAAATGATGATACCTGATCCTTGTTAGGAGCCCTGTGGCACCAGCTTCATAATGACCTGTTTCATTGTTTCCTTCTCAGGCAAATGAAGATGTGACCCAGATCGTGGAGATTCTCCATTCGGGGCCTAGTAAATGGAACTGGCTCACCCGACGTCTGGTGGAGTTCACCTCTTCAGGAAGTGTCCTCTTGTTTGTTACTAAAAAAGCCAATGCTGAAGAGCTGGCCAATAACCTTAAACAGGAAGGTCATAATCTTGGGCTGCTCCATGGGGACATGGATCAGAGTGAAAGAAACAAGGTCATTTCAGACTTTAAGAAAAAGGACATCCCAGTCCTGGTGGCCACAGATGTTGCAGGTAGAGTATGAACTTTCCCCAATAAACATAAGTTCTGTGCAGTAAAGATACTCTATCTTACCATATATAAGCAAGGGTAACATGTGAGCAAGGTGCTGGAAGGCACTGTGCTGGGCCACAGCTCATGGAGCAGCAGTTCAGAACACAGCGATTACAGATGAGAGCTAGGCCACCACTTTCGCTGCCTGTGTCCTCTGGCCTGCACAACAGAGATCCCTGCAATGAGCAGGCACATGGGAAAAATTGTCGAGGCAGTCGCCTCATAGACAGTGCCCTTATGTGTGTGACCACATTGACTGTTCAGTTGGACACACTTCATTTAAGATCAGAAAACATTTTGGAGTATGGTTTTTGTCTTTGTTCTGCTGAGGATCAGTAGTCACACTTAAAAACTGTTATTTTTCTCCCAGAAAGGAGAAAATGTCTGCTTCAAGACTTATTTGATGTGTTTGATTTTTTTCTATACTTCTGGTACAAGAGAGAGGGTGTGGCAGGTGACTGATGGCAGAAAATCCAAGTCCCCTTCCTGGACATTCATGCAGCTCAGCTCGCCCAGGCCACGTGCTGCCCAGATGAGGGAAACGTGGGTTCTTAGCGCCAGCATTTCTGGTTACTTTGGTCTTCTGGTTCCAGGGAAGCATAAAGGGATTTGATTGCTTTTTATTTTTAGCCCGTGGTCTGGATATTCCTTCGATTAAGACTGTCATTAACTATGATGTGGCACGAGACATTGATACCCATACTCATAGGATTGGCCGCACGGGTCGAGCGGGTGAGAAGGGTGTGGCCTATACTTTGCTGACCCCCAAAGACAGCAACTTTGCTGGTGACCTTGTCCGGAACTTGGAAGGGGCCAATCAGCACGTTTCCAAGGAACTCCTAGACCTGGCAATGCAGGTGAGGTGTTGGGATCTCTCCAGATGGTTCCAAATTGCTAAGTTCAGCAAGCCCGAGGCACAGAACAAAAACTTGGTGGGGGTGGAGAGTTTCCTGTTGGAAAGCTAGTCTTTTGTGCTAAAATCTGCCCCTCTGTACCTGCTGCCCCGTAGCACATTTAGGAGTAAATTCAGTCTCAGAAATGGCTACTGTACTCCCTACTGCCCTTCCCCATAAAATGCCCTCTTTAAAAAAAATTTAAAAAATCTATATAATGGTAGTGTCATTGTTATGTACTATCGAGTCGGACCCGACTCATAGTGACCCCTCCTTGGGTTTCCAAGGCAGTATCACTACAGAAGTAGATTGCCCAACCTACCTTCTGAGGAGTGGCTGGTGGGTTTGAACCGCCAGCCTTCTGGTTAGCAGTCAATTGCCTTAGGCACTATGCTACCAGCGCTCTCAATGGTAGTGTTAGGTGCCATTAAATCAACACCAAACTCATGGTAATCTCATGAGACAGAGTGGAACTGCCCACAGTGCTTTCTTGTCTGTCATCTTTACGGAAGCAGATTGGCAAGTCTTTCTCTTGTGGAGCCACTGATTGGATTCAAATCACCAACCTTTCAGTTAACAGCCAAGCACTTAACCACTGTGCCACCAGGGCTCCTTAACTGTTCCTCAAAGACTTAGATCATAGACATAGACATAGATCATAGACATAGATCATAGACCATACTGATCCCCCTCCTCAGTGTGCTGCAGTCCAGGACTCAGTGAGGTACCCTACCCGATTAAATCTTGAAGTGTCTCAATACATGCAGCCTTCAAATGACAGATGAATTGTGTTTTAAATAGTCTCTTTTGAGGTTAGTGGGAATGCAAAATACATGTTCTGAAGGTAGAGAGTGCTGCGTGTTTGCCAACTCATAGACCAGCCCACAGAACTACTAACCCGTAATGCATTGTAATGTGGGACTGTCCAGGTGTCAGTTCAGGAGTAGAGATTCCTCAGTGGAGAGGGGGAGGAGCAGAACGTCTCCTCCCCCACAGCTTTCACGGGTGTAGAGAGTCTGTCTTGGGCCTTCTGTGCTCACAGTGTCAGCTTCTCTGATCTATGCCTTTCCCAAACCTGTTCCACCTCGAAGCACTTCATTTGAGGGTGATATGTGATTGTCAGATAAACCTTCCCAGAGGAGTTTCCAGCTTTAAGAGAATGTGTGAATAAATGAATCAGTAATCTTCTGTCAGGGACCAAGGTCTATAAAAACTTTCAGGTTCTACAGATAAATAAAGTATCCAGCTGGGTGGCTATTGATCCCTCCTAGGAGTCTATCCCTAGAGTTGATGCTAATAAGTCTCACCTTGAGTTCTTTTCCCTCCACTTCTGAACCTATAAGGAGCTCTGGTGCCATAGTAGCTAAGGCATTTGATTGCTAACCAGAAGGTTAGCGGTTCAAACCCACCAGCCACTCCACAGAAGGAGGACTGGGCAGTCTACTTCTGTAAAGATTTACCACCTTGGAAACCCAAAGGGGGTTGCTGTGAGTTAGAATCATCAACTCGATGGCAGTGATCTTGGTATTTTGTTTTTTTCTGAACTCATCAGTTCTTTTAAAGCTTCAAAATTTTGAGTCAGTGGTGTGTATAGATTTTTTGAGAAACAGAAAGAAAAAAAAAAATCGTTTTCAAGACCAGGTTTACTGGTCTGACAGAGGCTGGTGAGACCCCTGAGACTATGGCTTCTAGTTATCCTTGAGGTCTGGAATTTAATTCACTTCTGTGGTTTAAAACAGTAGACAGGCATATTGGGTGAACTTTTATACCAGGTAGATAGACATTTTAGAAACAACAATTATGGGAGATCAGAAGGAGTATTTGCACAGGGAGATAGCTGGTGGAGGGGGGCTGGAATGCATAGGAAAGAAGGACACAGGGAAGAGACCTGTTACGTTGTGGGGAATTCCACGCAATGTCATGGAACAAAATGTGTATGAACTAAAACTACTGTATGGGAAATGAATTTGTTCTGTAAACGTTCACCCAATTCACAAATTTTTTTAAAAAATAGTTAAGGAAGTTAGAAGTGGCCAGGGGTAAGTCTAATGTCCTTGGGGCTTATCTGATCACCTCCTTCCAGGAGGCCTGAAGGAAGGAGCGTTGAAGGCAGCCTTGGATAGTGACCTAAACTACCAAAAAGGAACTAACCAGTGGTTCCTGTGAATAATTCTTCCCTCCCACTTAATTTCCTCTTTGATCTTGTCTTCTTCCTGTGGCCTAACTTTGAATTGTGTTCATTGCAGAATGCCTGGTTTCGGAAATCCCGCTTCAAAGGAGGAAAAGGCAAGAAACTGAACATCGGTGGTGGAGGCCTCGGCTACCGGGAGCGGCCTGGCCTGGGCTCTGAGAACACGGTGAGTCCAGATGACAGTGGTGCCCTTAGGCTGGCCAGGAGTCCTGGGTTAGGACAGTTGTGATCTTGGTGACTTCAGAACCTGCCTAGCAAGAGCTCGTGTTTATCTGCAAAAGGAGTGAATGCAGTGCTGGTTCTTGGTGTCGTGACTTTCCATGGAAGCAGAATCTCTGTGTGCTCGGCTGACAGGCTTTGCTCAGGAAGTTGGTCTAGACTAGTAGCAGTTCTTAGTTGTGGTCCTGGGACTAGCAGCACCATTACCTGAGAACTTGAGGTAAATGCAGACCCCAGCCCTGCTGAATGAGAAACACTGGAGGTAGGGCCCAGCAGTCTGTTTTTACAAGCCCTTCCTGCTGCTAGAAAAACATTGCCATACGATCACTGTGCAGTATCTTGTGACTAAACTCAGGAATGAGTCCTTCGTCCTATGGGAAATAATATCTCAGAGAGCCAAGAGCTAGCTTTTTTCTCACAAACCAGGTTGCAAAAGTTCCCCTGTGATTGGTGTTTTCAGTGTCTCTGTTTTCTGTCACTGATTCCTAAGCCAGGGGAGAAAGCTGCCAGCCTATTCTCCTGGAGCATTGTATAGTTGTTGTTATTTGCCGTCTAGTCGGCCCCAACTCATAGCGACCCCGCCTTGGGTTTCCAAGGCAGTATCACTACGGAAGTAGGATTGCCCAACCTTCCTTCCGAGGAGTGGCTGGTGGGTTTGAACCGCCAGCCTTCTGGTTAGCAGTCAAGTGCCTTTAGCCACTATGCTACCAGAGTTCCCATTGTATAGTTAGCCCAGTCTTTTTGATGAAGAATATTTGGTTCTCACATTATAATGATGATGATAGCTTATTCTTAACTGGCACTTAAATGTCAGGGCCATTCCAGATAATCACATGTATTAACTCAAACTTCTCAACAGCCCAGTGAGAATAATTATAAGTACAGAGGCACCCAAGGTTATACTGGTAAGTGTTGAAGCTGGAATTCAGACCCTTCCTGGTCTGAATTCAGAGCCTAGGTGGTCACACAAATACTCTACTAACTGCCTCATTCAGTATGGATTATACATCAATGTAAAACAAAAAGCCTCATAACTGGACCAATAGGCAACATCATGGTAATGGAGGAAAGACTTGAAGTTGTCAAGGCTTTCATTTTAACTTGGATCCATGATCAACACCCATGGAAGCAGCAGTTGGGAAATCAGATGATACATTGTGTTGGGCACATCTGCTGCAAAAGACCTCTTTAAAATGTTGAAAAATAAAGATGTCACTTTGAGGACCAAGGTGCACCTGACTCAAGCTGTGATATTTTCAGTTGCCTTACATGCTTGAGAAAGCTGGACAATGAATAAGGAAGACTGAAGAACAATCGATGCTTTTGAATTATGGTGTTAGTGATCAGTATTAAATATACAGAACAAACAAATCTATCTGGGAGGAAGTATAGCCAGAATGCTGTGTGAGTGAGGATGATGAGACTTCATCTCAAACACTTTGGACATGTTATCAGGAGGGATCAGTCTGCTTAGTTAGGTAGAGGGGTCAGTGAAAAAGAAAAAGGTCCTCAACAAGGTGGATTGATACAACAGTGGGCTCAAACAGCAACAATTGTGAGGTTGGCACAGGACCAGACCGTGTTTCATTCTGTTGTATGTAGGGTTGTTATGGGTCAGAAGCAACTTAACAGCACCTGACAAGAACTTCCTTTCATTTGTAACCTAAGTTTTGTCTAATTAAATATGTGAATGTGTATAATCATTTTGTTGTATTGGTAGAGTACCACATGCTTCACTTTGGGATACTCTAACCATATTTCTGATTAGGGTTAATTCCCAGAAATAAAATTGTAGGGCCTAAGATTTAAAATGATCCTTCATCACTGTACCTTTTTTCCCAAAGCATGAGTAACTTTCTAAAAATACCTGATTTCCAGTGCCCCCAGTAAGCTGTTGCTTCAGTTTCCAGTATTTTGAGGCCGAGTCTGTGGCAGTGAGTGGTCCCTACGGTCTATCCTTATGAATGTCTCTTTTTATCTTTTAGGACCGAGGAAATAACAATAATGTAATGAGCAATTATGAGGCCTACAAGCCCTCTACAGGGGCCATGGGGGATCGGCTGACGGCAATGAAAGCAGCTTTCCAGGTTTGAGAGAAGCATTTAGTTAAAAGAGCTTTCCACAGTAACTCTGACAGAATGGTGATTGGGGGTGGGGTTTGTGGGCTCAGTGCCTGATGCAGACCTTTTCATTGCTTGGATTTTGAATGTAAGTTTAGAAGTAACTTACCTGGAGATGCTGGTGTAGAGTGCAGGGAAACCACTCCTGCTGATGGTTGACTCAGTCACAGCCTGCAGTGTTACCCACCAAGAAGGAAGGCTGTTGTAATCTGGTTGAGTAATTGTCATCTTTTTGGTTAAGACATGTTTGATTCTGTGTCTGTTATGAACTCTGAACCCATCTTTCTTATACACAGCTAGCTAGCTGGGCTTTTACACATTTGTGTCTAGATTGCTGTTTTGGTTTGGTCCCAGGATTATTTCCATTTTTCTTATTTAAGGAGTAGAAACTTTTTAGAAGGGTAATGTGGTACACATTGACACAGTGGCTTTAAGAGTGGCCTCAGATACAGCAAGGATTATGAGGCTGGTACAGGACCAGGCAGTGTTGTGTTCTGTTGTACAGAGTTGTTGAGTTTCAGCCAACTTGATGGCTCCTAGTAATAGTGTGGTACATATTCCACATATTAATACTCCTGTAAAGGGCTGTAGCCCCAACCTTCAGACTCACTTCCAAAGCAAAATCTAGTAATACTAAGCTGAACAGAAAACTGGACGGTCAGCAGTTTGAACCCACACACTGCTCCATAGGAGAAAAGAACAGGTGATCTGCTCCTGTCATTTATAGCCTAGCAGACTGTGTGGGGCAGGTGTACTTTTTCCTGTGAGGTTGCTGTTGAGAATCAACTCAGCAGCATACCACCAAATGAATAGACAGGAACGAAATAGCCTTATAGCAGTCCAAGTCAAGTTTTACCTATTTTTTTAAAAAAATTCTTTTATTTAGAGGGTTTCAGAACTTTTGGGATTTGGGAATTGCTAACAATGGATTGCAGACTATACATGTGTTGAATTGCTTTACATGTAGATGCTTTAGTCCAGCCAGTCAAGCTGTAGAAGTAAATTTCAGTACAATGTTCCCCACAAAGATCCATAATCTTTCCTTTCACAAGAACAACACAGATTGTGGAGGCTTCAAGATACTAAAGTCACAGTTCAAGTTAGCATAATGATGAGTTTGTATACACTATCATTGCCAAGCTTATAGTCAAGTTTCTTGAACTTCCTATTTTACCTACTCCTATTTTCTTTTTCTTTCAGTCACAATACAAGAGTCACTTTGTTGCTGCCAGCCTAAGCAATCAGAAGGCTGGAAGCTCTGCTGCTGGGGCAAGTGGATGGACTAGTGCAGGGAGTTTGAATTCTGTTCCAACCAATTCAGCCCAACAAGGCCACAGCAGCCCTGAGAGCCCCCTTGCCAGTGCTGCCAAGAGCATCCCAGGCTTTGGCAACACTGGGAACATCAGCAGTGCCCCAGTGACCTACCCTCCTGCTGGAGCCCAGGGAGTCAACAACACACCTTCAGGGAATACCAGCCGAGAAGGGATTGGGGGAGGCAATGGGAAGAGAGAGAGATACACTGAGAACCGGGGTGGCAGCCGCCATAGTCATGGAGAGAGTGGCAATCGGCATGGTGACAGCCCACGTCATGGAGATGGTAGTCGCCATGGAGAAGGATACCGCTACCCAGAAAGCAGCAGCCGTCACACTGATGGCCATCGGCACGGGGAGAACAGGCATGGAGGAAGTGGAGGCCGACACGGGGAAAGTCGGGGTGCAAATGATGGTCGGAATGGTGAAAGCAGGAAAGATAGTTGTAATCGTGAGAGCAAGATGGACCCCAAGGTGGATGGCAGCAAGATGGACAAGATAGACAGCAAGACAGATAAGACAGCTGATGGTTTTGCTGTCCCTGAGCCACCCAAACGCAAGAAGAGTCGATGGGACAGTTAGAGGGTATGTGCTGAAACGTGAAGTCAATTGTTAATTTTTTATTTTTAGAAAGATCTTGGTGTCTCAGGGCTGGGTTGGGGCACAGGATGTGAGGACTCCCTGCCCTTAGTAGAGTGCTGGAGCTTGAAGATGTTAGCCTTTTGTCTATTTTTCTGATGTTTCCTTCAGAAGCTGCTTTGATCCTCGGAGGCAGTGAGAATGGGGAAGCTTGTGGCTCTGAGTGTACAGTCCTGCGGGTCAGTAGAGGACACCTTGGAAGGAATGGGCCTCACTGGGCACAACACTCTACATTTCTGTTAGCTTGTTTTCTACTAAAACATCACCTTACAAACATCTACAAGTAGAACTCGTCCCTAACTTTGTAGTCTGGCAGTCCCCTTTGTAGGAGTTGGCTTCTGCAAATGCCCATCGAGGCTAGGGATGAGGTGGGAAGGCTCCAAACACTGCAGGGAGGGAGCCATTAGAGCGGGGTGGGTGCTCAGCGGGCCCCCCTCCCCTAGGCTAGCTAGTATCCAGTCCTGAGACACGTGAGCAGCACAGCCCTCAAGGCTTTGAGGATCCTGGAGCTGCTTGGACTCAAGGGAGAAGCTGGTCCAGAAACTTTCCAGGATTGTTCTGGTCTGAGATGTTGTGAGTTAAAAAATTTTAAAAACACAGAACAGCTTTTAAAATGTCTCCTGCTTCTATTCCATTGTATTTTTTTTAACTTGGCACATGGTAGAAAGATCTTTTGCTGAGATGATTTTGATGATTTTTGTTCTATCTTGTTTATACAAGGAAAATATACAAAATTCCAATTTTGTGACTTTGTGAAGGTTTCTTTAAGATGTGCATTCCTTTCTGCTTGCTCTAGTAAATGTTTTACTACTGGGACCTGTGGACTGTTTGTCATTTCTACTTCACACTGAGATCAAAACCTGTTCAATATTAAGAGAACAGTGGGGCACAGTGTGAACACTCAGTGTACGTTTATTCACCTCATGATGGCAGAACTGGCGGAAGACTTGAGACGCCCATTTGCCCAAGAGTGGACTATAAGGAACACCAACCTTGACCCTGAGATCCCCCTTAATGATGTTAAGAAAGGCATGACTGTTTTCCTCCAGTGCTCCATATTCATGGAAGGACTGTGGAGTCTAAGAACAGCAGCAGGATATCTCAGCCCTGCCTTGATGGGAGGTCTTCCTTCAGGCAGGAGGGTGTCCTCACCACTCACACCACGAGAATTCCAAGGACCCTACCCCCACTGTCTTTGCAGGCAACTGCAGTACAAGCAGGACGAGGGCTGGCTCCGGGGAAGCCAGAGTAAGCAGCGACCACTTTCCTCCTAGTCCTTAGACGCTTTTTGCAGGCCTGGGTGGTGCTGCTCACTTCCGCTTTTGTTTTTTCTTCTTCTCCTTACGTTGCTGGGCTCTTTGGTCCTTCTTCATCCTGGAATCCACCACCTTGAAATGACCTCTGACTCCAGCTGGCCGGCGTACTTTGCGGCCCACACCTTTTTTGGCTACAACATAGGTGACCTGGCGTTTCTCCTTGCCGAGCCCAGCTTTCTTGTAGAGGCTAAATGGAAATGAAACAGGTTGGAGGCTTCCTGCCACTTTTCTGACCCCACATACCTTTGTGGACACCTTCCCCCCATTACCTTCGCAGCTGTGCCACCTTCTCCCGTTCTGAGATGTCCACTGTGTTCACCACAGCTTCTGCCTTCTTCTTGGTTTGCTCCAGTTTCTTAAGCATCTGTGAGAGGGCCCCCATCAGGTGATCGTATCGCCGTTCCTGTCCCCATCCACCCGATCTCAGGCAGCCACCGCGACTTACCCTCCGTTTCTTTCTGGCCTTAGCCTCAGCCACTTTCTTGATAGGACGTGCGTTGATTTCCCGCCAGCGCTTTCGGTAGTGCTCCACTTCCTTCTTATCAATAGGCAGCTGCCTTACCCTGTGCTGCTTTTCCTCTTGCACAAACCACTCAGGAAGCTCCCCCTCATCTTCGTTAAACGTGTACCTGCAGTAGAGACCGGCACTCAGCCACACCAGCCTTTCTAACAAAGAATCAGCTATTTAACCAGCCCACCCTGGACCCACTACTCATGATTTTCTGGGCCCCTTACCGACTGAAGGAGTTATCTATGAGATCTCGCTTGGCCTTTTCAGAAGAGGCAATAACAGCACCTAAAGCAAGGCCTTCGGGGTCCAGTATCCGATGTTTCACTAGAGAGCAAAGGCAGAAAGTAAGATACTGACATCAGAGCTAAAGCCTCCACTGTCGTCGGCCCTTGCGTCCCACAAGGCACAGTGCTCTCACCTGCGTCCTCAATGGGCACAACTTCAAAGCTGCCATCATCTGATTGAGGCCCCCGGCTCCGCTTCTTCCCTCGGCGTGGTTCCCTGAAGCAGAGTAGAGGTGATTAGGGAGTCATCCTCCGTTCCTGTGCCACTCAGACCTCACCTCACCCGTTTGCTGAAAGCCACTGGAGGCACTTTCAGACATCCTGCCACGCAGGCTGTACCCCAAGACCCGTTAAATCAGAATCATCAGCACTTTAAAAACCCCAGGCTGAGAACCACTCCCACCCTAAGAGGAAGGGTGCTTCCTTTGTCCTGCCTGCCATCAGCTGTAACCACGCACCTCTCTCCTTCCTCACTGCTGCTGCTGTCACTGTCTGAGCTGTCATCTCCTTCCCTTCCAGGGATAGTGGCAGCCTCTGTCCCCTCAGGAGCCTCATCTTGGCACAAGGAAGAGTTTCTCTCAGTCTTCAGACTTGAAGGCTGCTGAGGTTGTGGCTGGGGCTGCTGCTGCTCCTGCCCCTTACGACGACCCTCGTACAGCAGCTGGGCCTGACGGATCTCCAGAGCCTCGTCGGCATCATCCTCAATCCCTTCAAAGCCATCCTGTAATTGGGGGCATATTCAGCCACCCTTTTCCAGGGAATACCAATTCCCTATCTGATGGGTACCTCCCCACCTCCTCTTACTTTGGAGAACCACAGGTGGGCCTGCTCTTCCCGCAGTACTGCTTTTTCCTCTAGTGGTACCAGCAGTGGGTTCTCTTCCTCCTCCTCCTCTTTATCCTCTTCTACTTTAGCAAACTGCACACTGCAGACCCAAAGAAAAGTGAGTGGAAGGTCAGTGACCTAGTGTGCCTTGGTGAACCTGCTCCCCCCCCCCCCCAGCAATACCTGTCACCAGTTGTGCCTAAGGACTCCAGCTTAGGGTGTCGGCACTCAACCAACTGCCCCTCCACATACCGCTTTTGGTCCTTGAGACTCTGATGTCCCCCATAGCCTGCCAGCTCCTCTGGATCCAGGTCACTATCCAGAGATGCCTCCTCCTCTTCAGTATCTGATACATAGATGTCATCCCTCGGCAGATCGGACAGAAAGGTGTCTGCAGCGCTCATGTCCCCTTGTGCTACTTCTGCTAACAACTGAAGTTAACAAAGAGGTGGAAGGTTTTAAAAAGCAGCATGTTGCTTTTTTTTTCCCCCTCCTGTGTGGCTGACTTAGCTGACCTTCAAGAACACTAGGGAATCTACTAGGACACTGGTCTACCCACTCTGCTGTCTTGTTTCCAACAGTAGCACAGAGTTTATGGTAAAGTATCCCATGGCCTACATACCATCAGATCTTAAAACTTTCTAAGACACTGCTACTTTTCCTGTAAAAACACTCTCAAGAAACATCTCAATCATCTTTTGAATAATACAGTCTTCAAATTGCGCCCACCAAAGAAAGCCCAGGCAACACAGAGCCGACAGAAGGCACTGTCCCACTCATGCTCTCCAGGATTCGGCAGAAAGAGCACCATCCAGAAGCCTAGCACAGCAGGGTGCTAACTGGGTCTTGGTAAACTGAAGAACCCCGTTTCCCTCCGAGGGAAATCCTCCACTGACACAGTGCTTATCCCTAGGTACCCTGGCTGCATCTACTAATTGCAGAATCAGGACATTCTAGTGTTACGAGAATAAATCTATGCCATATGCATATTCCATTGCTAGCCACTGCCATCGAATCCATTCCAACTCATGGTGGCTCTCTGTGTTACAAAGTAGAGCTTCTCCAGGTTTTCTGGGCTGTCATTTTTATAGACGCAGATCTCCAAGCCTTTCTTCCATAGCACCATCCTATCATAAGTCTTTTTGATTCCATCATTTTAGATTTATGGTCCTTGGCCTTGGAGACACAAAACTCTTATTTTTGACCCCAGTCTCCTCACCACGTCATTTTATGGGTGAAGACAGCAACCACAACCTAGATCATTCAGCCACACGTGAAAACATACCCAGCGTCCCCCACCCCTAGATACACAGATCCTCCCTTGTCTTCAACTGTTGCTCAGCCCCGTCCTACCTGGTGACCACGGATGGTGCACAGGGAGAACATGCCAGTTTCTCCCTCATCTGCAATGGAAACCCCAGGCAGATCCATCTTGAGCTCCACACGCTCCCGCTGCTTTCTCTGCTCACGCAGCAGCTTCTTTTTCTTCCTGAGGGGGCAGGGTGGGGAGACAAGCTTTATTCTGCCCAGCACTCTCTTCTCCCATCTTCACAGAGGAACTCTGAACTCTGTCTGTGGGGGACGAAGCGTCCCCAGGCTCTTCCCCGCTCCCCTCACCTCTTCAGCTCTGCCACCTCCTGTGCTTTCATCTCCGCCAGGGTCTGGTTCAGCTGTCCCTCCTCCTCCTCCTCCTCCTTAGAGGGTTGCCTCGTAGTCCCAGCCGTTGACTCTTCCTCATCCCCTTCTTCTTCCTCTCCAGAGCTGAGGCTGACAGAACGGTCAGCAGTTGGGTTATTTTCCCAACGCTTCCCCAACACAGCCACTACACACCCATCTCCTCTAGTGCCCCCTCACCTGATATTCAGGGTCTTTGCTTGTTCTTTCAGCTTCCTGGCCACGTGTCGCCGAAGCTTTGTTCTCCAGTTCAGCAGAGACCTGCTCCAGAAATGCCATCACTGATCTTACCTTCTTCCTCTGTCCCTGCCCTCTTCTCTCTTTTAGGCCCTCACCCCAAATTTCATGTTTGAGCCACATAAATCCCAGGGCCCCAGTCCCCATCCCAAACCTCTAGTATAGCAGCATCCTCTTCCCAGACATCCATCATGGCCTTCGAAGGCCTCTTCCTACCTCCAGAGCTCCTGGTACCTGCACAACACCTTAGCCCATACCTGAGCTCCTTGCGCCCCAACACTTTGATATCCTGACAGCATGCCTGGACGTCCTCAGTGGTGGCTGGGTGTTGTGCCAATTCCTCATCATCCAGCAAGATCTGTTTGATAGGAGAGAGGGCAGTTAGGGGAGGCTCTCAGGCCATGTTTCTGGGGCTCCCTTATAGCCCTCCTCAAGTTGGGGGACTCACTTCACTAGCTTTGGAGAGGAAGTCAACTGGGTTAGCAGCTCGGAGAAAGTCAGTGACTGAGGCCTGATGATAGAGAGTAAGGTCACCCTCAGCATAGCCTTCAGCCTGTGGGAAGAAATAATGAAGGTGAACACTTCCTTTCTGAGTGTTTGTAGGACCCACTAGGCGCAACCTCCCTAGAGTTCCAGAACCCAAGGTGGTCCATTCCACAAGCCCACCTTTGGCTTCTTCTTAGTCACCAATTCAGTAACAGTCTTGGCCTGAACTTCAACCTCCTTGAAGGCATATTTGGGGTCAAAGAATTTACTGTCAACCTTGTCAGGAGCCAGGAATCCTAAGATAAGATATATCTTAAAGGTGTACTTTGGTAGTTAGAAGGTTGGGTCAAGAGCAAAAAAAAGTGATACCCACCTTGGCAGACTACAAAGATCTCTGCAGATTCATGACGAGAGGCTTGGGGCTTGGTGGCCTGGACTCGACGAAACAGCTGCTGGAAGATCCATAGCAGGGGCTGATAGTCACGGGAGCGGAAAACCTTCGTGATGAAAGAGCCACCACGAGCCAAAAAGTCACAAGCCAAACGTAGAGCCATCAGTGTCAAATGGGCTGTGGGATACAGACGGTCAGCTGAGGGCCTCTGCAGCCTGAGAGGGCACGGCCACCTCCATGCCTATTGCCCCCTCCCTAGGTACCTTGTGAGTAAGCATCATGGACCCAGCTAGCCCCAACGTTGGGTGCCCCATCATTGAGCACAACATCAACCTTCCAGGTCTTTAGCTCCTTCCTCAGGGCCTACAGAAAAGGAAAGACATTATGACTAGGAATGGAGTCCCTGATCCAGTTATTTGCTGAGTATACACCAAGAGCCAAATCCTATGCCAGGCACAGGAGATACAACAAAGAACAAAAATAATATAACCTCATCTTCGTGGTGCTGTAGTCTAATAGTGACTTCACTGATGAACATCTCTGGCCTTCCCCCAAATTCAAACACCTATTCCAGACTCTACAGAGACTGAAGAGGACACCAGAAATACCTGGGCCTTATCCTACAGACGTCACGTAGTCACTGCTTCATACCAAACCCAACCCAACCCACTGCCGTCAAGTCGATTCCACCTCATAGTGACCCTATAGGACAGAGCAGAACTGTCCTATAAGGTTTCCAAGGCTGTAAATCTTTACGGAAGCAGACTGCTTCATCATTCTAATGCAGAGCGGCTGGTGGGTTTGAACCACCGAACTTCTGATTAACTGCCAAATGCATTAACCATTATGCTTAAAAAAAACCAAACCCACTGCCATCAAGTTAATTACTACTCATAGCGACCCCCATTGGGTTTCCAAGGCAGTAAATCTTTACAGAAGTAGATTGTCCGGTTTTCCTTTCATGGAGTGGCTAGTGGGTTTGAACCACCAACCTTCTGGTTAGCAGTCAGATGCCTTAGGCACTGTGCTACCAGAGCTCCTTAACCACTATGTTTCAGGCACAGTAACTAGGAAAAAAAAATCTTGCTTTCAAGGGATTCTCCCTCAGGGTAGAGTGAGATATGGACATCTGCATACACAGGAGGCAGGCAAAGAACATTATTATTTACCTGTCGACAGCGTTCTGTGGTGATGTCCTCCTGGAGTGTCACCACATTGGGAAGAGGCTTGATTGGAACCAGATCCACTCCTGGAATAAATCAGTTCAGAGGATTCCAAAGGGATTCCCCCAACAAAGAGGAGGAAAGAGTAGACAAATTTAGTATCTCATACTCCCACACCCTATGACACATAGGAGAACCACCTGTCACTCACCCACAATAAGACTGGACACAGGCATAAACTTGGCAGCAACTTGCAACCTGTAAAAGATATTTCAAAAATACCCAGGACCATCCCTAGCTTCCTATGAATCCCTGTAATGGCATTTATCACTCCTCGTGTTAGGAGTCCCTGCCACGTAGAAAGTGGCCAGAACGTGTCATGAGTAGACGTCTCAAGTCTCTTCTCTACAATGAAGGAAGGAAAAGCCACCAGGGTTTAGAAAAGGCTTATGCTGTGGGGTGAAGCAAAGCAGTGTGGAGTATGAGGCTAGGAATTCCTTCCTCCTTCAACGGAACGGTGAGCCCCAGGGCCGGAACCCAGAAAGCTGCCATCAAGAGTGACCCGTGCCAGGTGTTACGCACCATCCCCCTGGCGCGGCACACAGGTCCAGCAAAGCTCGGGCTTTCTGCAGGAACTGGAAGCGGCGATTGAGCTGGATCAGCTTGAAAGCAGAGCGGGAGCGGTAACCTGGGGGCAGCGGCAAAACAACGAAGTCTGCTGAGCGCTTCACAAGCGAGGTTTCTCCAGAACCTCACAACCCACCACCCCTGGGCGGAAAAGGAACCCAATATTCAGGAAGGCGGCGGTAGATGGGCCCAAGAGCGTTCGTTCCCTCGCTCTCTGGCCACCCGAACCCTGGCTCACCAGTCTCCTTTGCCAAGTGATAGAACTTGTCCCGCCGGCTCTTCCCGACTTTTCCCTTCTTTCCCATTGTGGAATGGAATAGTTGTCACTCAGTCTGAGGACAAGGAAGGAGAGAATAAGAACGTATCTCCCCAAAGTACTAGACTCCGCTTTCCGTTCCCCACTCCTCGCAGAAATCACATTCCGCGCTTTGCTCCACACCAGTCACCTCCGTCCAACGCCGTTTTCACCACACCTGGAACTGCACATGTAGGCAGCAAGAGAACTTCCGCTTCCGCTCCTTGCATCTGCGGCTCCAGATTTTCCGCCATTTTTAGCGTGGCAATAAATTTTTCTCTAGGCTCCATCCCCATGTCCTATAAGTTGAAATCTGGGACCAAGAGGGCAGAGTACATTAACTTCAAATAGACTTTCTAGAGAACAACGCTTGAGAGTTCCTTCCCCTCCTAATCCGCTGCGAAAGCTCCTGGATTAGGTAGTCACCCTCACATCATGGCTCCTGTTATTTAGTGTTGTCTTCCGCACGTCCCTCTCGTTGACCCGGAACTCTTCTCTGTTCTCGTCTTCTGGCTCCAAGTCCCTGCTTCTGCGCTTGCGCGTTGAGCCGGCTCAGATGCCGGCGGTCTCCGCTGAAGAGAGAAGATGGCGCTTGACGGACCAGAGCAGGTATGGCGGCAGTGGCGGCGGAGCAGGAACCGGGGGGTGGATGCAGAACGAGGGTTAGCCGAAGTCGGCAGCAATCTAGGGCAAGGTGTTCGCGGGTAGGAGGTCCTGTCCAGACCCGGCCCTTGGGACCGGATCTGCTGTGTCAGCGCCGCCCGCGGTGAGTCAGGGCAGGGCCGCGAGAGGAGGTAGAAGCGGAGTGAGCGAAGCAGAGCTATGGGAGCTGGAACCGAAACGGCCGTAAATCAGGTAGATTGGGAACGGGGCACCGGGCCTTCCTACTGACTTCGTTTGAAAGAGTAACACCCTGAGTCTGTGTAGCGCTTGACAGTTGGAAATGCGCCGGTGTTTGTTATTCTTTGGTCTTTCTAGTAGTTCTATGAGGTAGGCGCATTCGTATTCTTATTTCAGTCATGTTGGAAACAGAGTTCAGAAGGCGTGGAAGGAGGAATTGGAATCTTAAGGCTGCAAAGGCCATGTTGTTTTCAGACGTAGCGTCTGATCGGTGTTTAAGCTGTGTGGCGAAGTGCCCTGGAAGGGTCTTTAACCCTTTGGCTGTTTGGCGTGTTATTTAGTATTTCCACTGTGTCTTCAGATGGAGCTGGAAGAGGGGAAGGTAGGCAGTGGACTCCGCCAGTATTACCTGTCCAAGATTGAAGAACTTCAGGTGAGGATGGGCTCCGGGTGGGAACTGGGAGGAGTGATGGAAGCACGTTTCTACAAATCGGTGTAATTATCATGGGGGTGCAGAGCAAGTGTCTTTTTCTTTTTGTGTTTTAGTTTTTAGAAAAGTGAACATACTAGGAGTAACAATCAACAATACAAAGTATATGAAGTTACTGTCTCTTATTTCCCTCGAGTCCTGCTGTTTTGAGGGTAGTCAGTATTTACAGTTTGTCACACGTCTTCAGTATTCAGATTTTAACAGAAAAGGTACCCATAGCTGAAGGTCATTCTTTTTGGAAGAGGCCTGAATGAAAAGTTTCTTATCAAATGGAAGAATAAAGACTCAAGAGCTGAGATTTCTCAGAAAGGGGTGGGTTAGAGTGAAAGGTGAGTGAGTGAAGGGAAGATAGTGTTAAGGACTCTAGATGTTTTTCATTTCATGGGACTGAATTGAATTGGGCAACTCAATGCTCTAGCATAAAGAGGAGCAAGAATGATAGAAATAAGAAAATAGTAATAATGTGGCGGCGGGAAAAGCCGTAAGGAAAATCTGTGAACTGCAGGTATGTTTGCAGGTATCAGCGTGTTTGATTTACCATTTTAAAAATACTTCTAGGTGTGATTTCTTTGTTTCTCACCATAGTTCAGAAAAGAAGCAGGGTACCTATTTGCCGTGTGGAAGCAGATCTAGATGTTTTAAGTGGTTTGCTGTTAATTGGTAGCAGCTGGGCCGGAACTCAGGCTTCTCACTATACCATGTTACTTCCCCCTGAGAAATTCACTACATGAGTTAGCTGTCACTTTTCTCCATTAGGGGCTATTGGGTAAGCAGCCTTTTTTGATGACTTCCATGGGCTCCAGAGGAACTCCTGGAGGACTGGGTCATACTGGAGAACCTGAAACTATTGTGTTAATACCCCCTTCCCATACTGAGCTCACACCCACCTGTGAAGGGTGTTAGTTATGATGGTAGCATCTTCTGCTTGAGTAACATAATTAATTTGTGCCTTGTCTTCTACAGCTGATCGTGAACGATAAGAGCCAAAACCTCCGGCGGTTGCAGGCACAGCGGAATGAGTTAAATGCAAAAGGTGAGGGGCCTGGGGAGATGGGAAGGATGCATGTGGGTGTGGCTCTGAGGCCTGTTACTGATCTCCTGGCACCAAGTCTTCAGAGGGAAGCTCACTGTTTCTTCCCAGCCCTGATTTTGACATGTGTGTGTCCATGTCTCCATTCCCTTCAAAATGGTGCTCAGTTCGTGTTTGCTGAATTGAGTCATGGCTGAGGGGACATGCTAGAAGGTCCTTGATCACTGCCCATTTCCTACCTAGTTCGCCTGTTGCGAGAGGAGCTACAGCTGCTGCAGGAACAGGGCTCCTATGTGGGGGAAGTAGTCCGAGCTATGGATAAGAAGAAGGTGTTAGTTAAGGTAAAGACAGCATGACCCCAAGGGGCAGCCCCAAGTGCTGTGTTCCCACCCTTTTGTTTGTAGCTTTGGAAGGATGGTGTTTGTCATGTTATTCTAGGACTCTCATGGGTCTTCTGAGGGGGTTGGTGATTTGGTGGCTGAGGGAAGGTCATGAACCCTTGTTGCTTTAGGTACATCCCGAGGGCAAGTTTGTCGTAGATGTGGACAAGAACATTGACATCAATGATGTGAGTGCGGGTGAGGGTCAGTGTGGCATTAGGGCCAGTTCCCTTTGTACTACTTTCTGAAACTCCCTTACTCCCTTCACCCAGGTGACACCCAATTGTCGGGTGGCTCTAAGAAATGACAGCTACACCCTGCACAAGATCCTGCCCAACAAGGTGGACCCATTGGTGTCCCTTATGATGGTGGAGAAGGTACCAGATTCAACCTATGAGATGATTGGTGGACTGGACAAGCAGATCAAGGAAATCAAAGAAGTGATCGAGCTGCCTGTTAAACATCCTGAGCTCTTCGAAGCATTGGGTATTGCACAACCCAAGGTGAGGAGCAGGGCTTTCTTTGGGAGGGCCATGCTGTGCTAAACCCCTCCTGTTGTGGGTCACACTGAGAGGGAGTGCCAGAATAGACTGCCGCCCACTTGGGCTGACTCCCACCCAAGAAGAGGGGCTGAGGGGGTTTTCCAGGCCACTGAAGGGCTTTGGCTATAAGCTCCAGAAGGGACCTTGTTCATTTTTTGTATCCATTGCATCCAGCACAAAGCAGTAAACGTCCACTGACTGAAATGAGGGGCTGGCTTTCTGCCCTGAGTTGTGTTCTTTCTCTCCAGGGGGTGCTGCTGTATGGACCCCCAGGTACTGGGAAGACACTGTTGGCTCGGGCTGTGGCTCATCATACGGATTGCACCTTTATTCGTGTTTCTGGCTCTGAATTGGTACAGAAATTCATTGGGGAAGGTAACTGACCAGAAACACGAGAAAGAAGTGGGAGAGGGGGAGAACAAAGGTCTTATTGACTCCTTAACACCAGCTTGGCTTCTACACAGGGGCAAGAATGGTGAGGGAACTGTTTGTAATGGCACGGGAGCATGCTCCATCCATCATCTTCATGGACGAAATTGACTCCATTGGCTCCTCACGGCTGGAGGGGGGCTCCGGAGGAGACAGTGAAGTACAGCGCACCATGCTGGAGCTGCTTAACCAGCTGGATGGCTTTGAGGCCACCAAGAATATCAAGGTAAGGTGGCATCAGCCTTGGGGTAAGCCAGCAGGGGGCCCTGGTGACTAGCAGGCCAGTGAGGGGCTTAGCTGACAGCACCGTCACTTCTTTCTCCACTCAGGTCATCATGGCTACCAACAGGATCGATATTCTGGACTCGGCACTGCTTCGCCCAGGACGCATTGACAGGAAAATTGAATTCCCACCCCCCAACGAGGAGGTTTGTGATGGCCTGTGCTGGGAGAGGCTCTGGCTCTAGAGGTGAAAGATGGACTCAGGCCTTTCCTTTCTGGTCTCCAGGCCCGGCTAGACATTTTGAAGATCCATTCTCGGAAAATGAACTTGACCCGGGGGATCAACCTGAGAAAAATTGCTGAGCTCATGCCAGGAGCATCAGGGGCTGAAGTGAAGGTAATCGGAAAACAGGAGGTGGAGTCGAGAAGTATTGGACTCGAGGGCCATGCTTGGGGCTGAGGGACTACAGTAACAATGGCTCATGGTCCTTCCTCTGCCCAGGGCGTGTGCACAGAAGCTGGCATGTATGCTCTGCGGGAACGGCGAGTTCACGTCACCCAGGAGGACTTTGAGATGGCAGTAGCCAAGGTACATGTCCCTCACCTTTCTCCTTTTGCTGCTAGCTCTAGAGCAGTGGGGATGGGGTATGTGTCCACCCAGTTTATAACAGCATGTTCTTGCGTGCACTCTCTCTCTCTCCAGGTGATGCAGAAGGATAGTGAGAAAAACATGTCCATCAAGAAGCTCTGGAAGTGAGGTGGATGTTCTGTGTGTGGATTCCCCAAATAAAGCTCTGTGGGACAAGCTCTAGGGGTCATCTAGTAATGAGTGGTTGCACCGTTAATGACCAGGTCTGGGCACCACCAGTAAACAAAAGGATTTATTTGGAAATTTCCAAACCCGCCAGAAGTGGCACTTGCCAAGCCCTCGGCCCACCCTCCTTACCCACCTCTAAAGGGCAACAACAATCCTCTCCCCCCTCACCTTATTGCCCCTCACCATGCACACACCCATACTTCAAGCCATGCTAGAGAACTGGAGTGTCCCTTCTCTCTATGAGGCATTACCTCTCTGGGACCAAGAAGCTGGGGTGGCAAGCCCTCTGGCACCCCAGGAGATGATGGCAGCCGGAGCCGCTTGCATAGATTGAGGAAAGAAAACAAGGGAGGAGGCACCAAATAGGGCTCCCTGAAAAACCCCAACTTAACCCCTGTACAAAAAAAAGTGGCTCCCGCATAGAAAAACCTGCTCCCCAAATAGTGCAAATACCCAAAGGAAAGGAAAAAAAAAAACCAGCAGCAAGGCTGGGCTTGTAGGAATGGCAAAGAACTTTGGTTTAGGAAGGCTAGGAAGAGTCTAGGCTGTGCCCCCTTCCTTGCCCAGCTCCCCACAGCCCCAAGGGGGAGTCTGTAAACATGCAAACCCAGCAGCCTTTGGTTCTGAAATGTCTCAGTTACAATGTCCCAGCACAGCCTCCAGCAGTCCTACCTGGGCCTGCCTGCAGGGGGCAGAGGAGGCATTTGTTATGAACCCAATTAAAGCCAATGCATAAAGTAATAAGGCTTTGGGGATCCAAGCAACAAGGAATCCTACCACTACATTTATGAAACTAAAGTTGGGGGGTAGGAGACATTCCTCACCCCATCCTTATCCTACGTGTCGGTGGCCCAGCCAGGACCCAGAGGGTGGTCCCCTTCCGGGCTGAGCAAGGGATGGCTCCAGAGCTGGGAAGAAAGGTAAAGCTCCCTGAGCAGTTAGGTCAGGCGAATTCCCAGCACCTGTTCCAGTTCCTGCCTGCGCTGCTGCACCTGGAGAGGAGAAGGGTGGCAGCAGCTCAGGCCTCAGCTTCTCACATCCAAAGGAGAGAAACAGGGTGGGGCCTCACCTTAGCAAAGATATGCCTCCCCACTGCTTCCTGGGCCCAAGGCTGGTGGTAGAAAGCAGCTCGTCTCTCCTCCTCAGGATTCCCAATCACATCAGTGATGATCTGCACAAAGCCAGGAGGAAAGCCAGAGCAAGATTCCCACCCCTGAGCCAGTCAGCCCTGGAGCCCCAAGGATAGTGATGGGGCGGGGGGAGCCACCCAGAGCTTCACGTGGAAGCTCAGGGAAGAGCACCACACCTTGAGGTCCCGGCGCTGGGAACGGAGCCATTCCTGGATGAAGTCCTGGGGGTCAGTGCTAAAGCTGAGCATGAAGTCCCTCTGGGTCTTCAGCTGGTTGATGGACTCAATGGTCTCGTGGATCTGGGGGAAAATGGTGCATGTGTCACACTGACCCCTTTCCCTGAAGGGTCTGTTCCCAGGCTGAAGCCCAAAGGACGGGCAGAGGCCCACCCAACTGCAAGGCACTAAGTGTAGGGCAATGCCTTGGCAGCCTGCCCACCCCCACCCCAGAGGAAGGTGTGGAGACAGAAGGCCCACCTTGACATCAAGGGAAGCGATCTCCTGCTGGTTGGTGGTAGAGGCCAGAAAATTGCTCATCTGGGCCTTTAGTGGGTCATCCACTTCCACATCAATGTCATAGCAGGCAGTTTTCTTCTGGTCATTAGGGTCCACACTAGAGAGAGTAGAAAAGAGGAAGAAGAACATGGCTGCAATCATTCACCCACCTGGGCCGAATCTGGGGCCCGTTCTGTGCACATGACTGGGAAGCAAGAAACCAAACCTGCTTTTCTTCAGCTTTAATACCTGGCAAAGAGGATCCGGTTCTTAGAAAAGCCCTTGTATCCCTTCCCTCGGTTTACCTAATGACATGATTGATGACAATGGGGTCTGGATGCTGCAGCAACCCAGCCAGCTTCATGGGGATCTCGGAGAAACGGAGTCGACCACAACTGAAGATCTGCAGAGAACCAAAGGCTCGGTGATGCCTCTAAGGGCACCAGGAGGACAGGGACCATGCCAGAATAAAAAAGGCAGTGGACTGAAGAATGTGACTGAGAACAAGCCTGGTGGGGCTCTAGAGCCATGAGCAAGGCAGGGCCTGAGTGCTGGGGCATGGCTTCCAGCTCACCTGGCGGAAGTAGCGGTTGCAATTGATATACTCGCGCTCATGTCCATCTTGCAGCTGGTTGTGTTTGATATAAAGCCACAGGGCCTGCATGATGGCGGCCCTCGTCTGTGTGTGCACTCCCAGCAGCCTTGCCAATCGAGGATCCAACTTGTACTGGGGAGGCTGGGGATGGGACAGAGGGGAGTCAGAGAAGGGCTGATTCCTTATAAAAAGTAGAACAAGGGAGAGACAGGAAGGGTTGAAAGAGGAGCCTGTCCCTTCCCCTAGATGAATCTCAGCCTAGATACAACCCCAGGCATTTGTCACCTGATGATCCAGCATGAGTAGAAGCGTGCACTTGACATTGAGGTCTCCAGGCCGTTTTACCTGGAAGCCATCTGTCTCCTGGGTGGTGGGCAACCGGTGCCACTGGCAGGGAAGAGGAAGTGGATGTGAACACACATAACTGGTCCTCCTGAGAAACTGGGTCATGTCACTGCCCAACAAGCACATCCTCCTGTGCTCTGTCCTCGAGCCTCCTTTCTCCCCATGCCCTAGGTCCACACTCACCTCCACCAGGTGGTTGTCAGGCCCATACAGCTCCTTGTCCAACTCGATGACGAGGCTCTTAAAGAAGGAAGAAAATTTCCTTTTCTGTTTGCTGGGCTGGGGGTTACAAAGGGGTGTGAGATGGGGAGCCTTGCTGAGCTCCCTCCTCTCTTGAACCCAAAGCTGTGCTAAACCCAGAAAAACAGGTGTATCATTTCAGCCTAGAGTTAGGGTACTGAGGATTTTAGGGCCCCAAAGGGAGCAGTCGGACTCTGGGAAAAGAGATTGGAGGCAAAGGGCTCTCCATGCAGCTCTACTACTAGGCAATAAGCAAAAACTCAGCCAAACCCACTGCTGTCAAGCTGATTCAGACTCATAGCAACCCTCTAGGACAGAGTGGTGGGGTGGTATTGAGTGCCGTCGAGTTGTCTCCGACTCATATGTACAGCAAAACAAAACACTGCCCAGTCCTGTGCCAGCCCCACGAACCTTGCTATACCTGAGCCTGTTGTTGTAGCCACTGTGTCAGTGCATCTTGTTGAGGGCCTTCCCCTCTTTAGTTGACTCTCTACTAAGTATGGTATCCTTCTCCAGGTTATGGTCCCTTCTTACACATGACCAAAGTAAGTAAGACGACGTCTAGCCATTCTCGCTTCCAAGGAGCACTGTGGCTGCTAGGACAGAGTAGAACTGCCGTACAGAGTTTCCAAGGCTGTAAATGCTTACAGATGTGTACTGCCACATTTTTCTCCCACAGAGTGGCTGTTGGGTTCAAACCACCAACCTTTCGGTTAGCAGCCCAGCACTTAACCGCTGTGCCACCAGGGATCCTTGAGACTCAATTAGAAAGGGAGCCCCTGGGTGGTGCAAAAAATGTGTTCAGCTCACCCCTGTGGCTCAACTTTCAGCCAAGTGATAAACAGCCCTCCGAGGTGAACAGTAACACCAGGGAGGTACACCTTGGAACGACCAACCATACAAGATCAAACAGCAGCATTTGCCCAGGAATAAAGCTCAGAAGGCAGGAAGGGGTGGGAAAGAAGGATGAAGGGAAATGATAAACACAGGGAGAAAGTGGGAAGAGTGCTACTACATTGTGGGGACTGCAATCAATGTCACAAAACAAAATGTATAGGAACTGCTGAATGGAAAACCAATTTGCTACGTCAAGGTTGACCCCAACCACAATAAAAAGTTTTTTTAAAAAATATGTTCAGCTGCTAACTGAAAGGCTGAAGGATCAAGATCATCCAGAAGCATCGCAGAAAAAAGGCTTGGCAACCGACTTCTGAAAAATCAGCCTTCGAAAACTTTATGAGCACAGTTCTACTCTGACACACATGGGGTCACTACACGTTGGAATGGCCAGGACAGCAGCTGGTATTTGATGGTGGTACCCCTTCCTCAAGACGCTTTACTGCCATCTGCAGGAAATGGTTGTAATGACATACAAATCAACCTCTCTCTGGCTTGGAGCTGTGCGAAGCATCACCACCAGCAGCACCTTCCCCCCGTAGCAGCATGTCTCTGCCCCATTTGAAGCCCACACAGGCCCTGCCCTCCAGACACCCCTTTTCCCAACTCACATCGTCCAGCAGTTTGCCCTCCACTCGGAGTTCCCAGGAAGCCACCTTGTCCCCTGCGGGGGTTCCCCCTGGGGTCCCTGAAGTTCCTGCACTGTCACTGTCAGCCTTGCTGGGGCTGAATGTGTTGGAAATATAGATCCGAAGCTTCCGCTTTTGCTAAAATGAGAAAGACAATCAACTAGAGGTAGACCACTCTGGAAAACAACGCTCCCAGTCTTCCCATATTCACTCACATAACAATCAATCGTATGTTGACCAGGGACCTGGCACCTTGCTAGATCCTGGGAACTGGAAGTAGAAATGCCCAGTCCTAGCCTTTAAGGAGCTCACGATTTTACGTGGGTAAGAGCTGCACGACCAACAATCCCAAAACAATGGGACTGGTGTATGACAGAGGTGCGTATAGTTTCTAACAGGCAACCAGAAGCCTTCAGTTCATATTTTAAATTAAACGCAAACACCATCATGGTGCCGAACTATCTGGGCCTCCTGGAAAGGGTTCACCACTCTGGAGATTATTCCAGATTACTGTAATTAAAATAACAACAACAAAACAGTTCTCTAGGGATAGGGAGGGAGAAAGGAACTATAAGTATCTACTCTCTAGACTAGTAACTTTCTCATTTTTTAACACAATCCCTAAGATAACACATTTTAAATCTGGACCCAGCATCCACATATACATATACTTATATATATAAATATCTGAAAGAAAAATCTCATATAATACTCATCTCTACTACATGTGAAGTATTTTGTACTACTTTATTTTCATTTAAAAAATATGCTGGCCTCAACACATTGAACTGAGTTCACGGCTCAATATCAAGCTGTATCCTGAAGTTTGAAAAATCCTCTCTGGCTTAATGCATATCCTTGCTCAGTCCCTGGAAAGCAAGGCTGAGGAGGACAGAGGGCGTGGGAAGGTCAGGGGTGGTCAAGGCTGCATATACCGTCAGAGGCTTCTTAATGGCCTCCTGGATCTCCATCCGCTTGCGAGCAATGGTCTGGTCCAGCTTCCGCTCAAAAGCCAAGAGATCCATGTACGCCTGAGACTCGGGGACAAGCTCCCGAATCTTGAGGAAAGGAGGAGGGAAGGGGGATCTGTCAGCAGACCTGGGTCCTTCCTCCTTGGCACCCCCCACCCCTAGCCATCCATCAGGCAGGCCTCCAAGGCGCCCCTCCCAATACTCACTCGCTGAGGTAGAACCTTATCCGCCATCTTCCTCCTCTTTAGCCTGGGGAGGACAGAAATCCACTTAAGAGGACCAAGGCCCAAGAGATTCTCACCTTCCCCCTCACCACCTCATCCACCCTACAGTGCCCAGGACCCTCCCCCAAGATAATCAGAAGTCTTCCTCAGTCATTGTAGTTCTTAGGGTAGAAGGAAATCCCCAGGGTGGGAGAAACAGGAGGGTCTTACCCCCGGCGCTGGGCAGGCATCGGGGGCTGGGGCTGGGGCACAAGCAGGCGTTTTCGGAATGGGTCCATCATAGCTGGTGGCATGCCAGGTCGAAGTGGGGCAGCTGTGCCAAATGGGGAGCCAGTGGGGGGTCCCACCTGCAAGCCAGCCATGGGCATCCGGCTCCCTGGTGACATGCCAGGCCGCTGGGAGAAGTGAGCCACAGGTGGGGTGTAGATCAGTGGCAGGGCCCTCTGGGGCCCAAAGCCCACTCCCTCCATCCCTCTCCTCAGCAGGTCTGCCCTGAGCAGTCCACTGCAGAGCCCAGACAGGAGTGCCAGGAAGGGAGACAAAGGAGAGCAGGTGTCGGAAAGCAGAAGTGTAAACCATACCTGTCCCGCCCCCTTCAACTGCCCTGGCAGTCATGCCAGCGAATGAGGCAGGAGCAGGCTTGCCAGAGCCCAGGGTGGGAGGAGAATCCTGCCCGTGAGCAGAGGGCCTAGGGAGCAGCTCAGGGCCCCTCACCTGCTCCAGTCCCAGCATGCTCTGGGGCCCTCTTGGGGCCTTCAGATGGCCCGCTGAGCAGCGCCATCCTTCTTCCCCGGCTGGAGGGAGAGGCTGAGGACACCAATGCAGGAGGCATGAGGGCAACGTCCTAGTGGCCAGGGCAGGTGTGACATAACCAGGCTGACGCCTTGTTAAGGTCTCCCTGAGACTCAAGGGCATAGCCTCCATGCATAACCCATCGCCAGCCTGGTGGTGCAACTGAGGTGGCAAAGCACTCTAGCAGGCTGGCACGCCCATCGGCAGTGGCACCCAGGTGAGCCAGCTGCAACAGGATGGCTTGCAGTGTGTCCCAGCTAGGCAGCCTCCGCTGGGAGTCCAGAGACCATCTGGCCACCAGATGGCTCCTTCCCACAACCTAGAACCGGACCCTTTGCTCTCTTGCCATCCTACTACCCTTCCCTACCCCCTACTCCCAAGCCAGAAGACCCCAAGAGGGAAGCTATGGCCCATGGGAGAAAGAACAGCTGGCACCTGGCCTCTGCCCATGGTCCAGACACCACCTGGCTGTCAGGGCTGGCTCAGGCTCAACATAACCCTTGCAACCCCAGGGAGGAGAACGGGGATATGGTTATCCTGATATGCAAGGATCAGAGACTTAGGGTCAACAGCAGGAATCCAGGTGATAGAAGTGGCTTCCTTAGAAGCCTGCAGGAATACCCACTGGAGGCTCAAGTCCCCAAAATTTCTGTGGAGCCCATCTGGGCGTCCCTTCCACCCCCCCTGCTTTCCCTAGGCTGCTGCCTGCAAGGCCTGTTTGGCAGCTCTGCCTTGCACATGCTGTCCCTGGCAGCTTCACAGGGCTGGCCCCAGGGCGCAGATTATGCAACCAGCACAACCAGCCAACCAAGCCAGCCTGGGGGCTGGGAGAGGGGGGCAGGCACCAAATCAAAGGACCCACCACCACGGAGAGGACATTGTTCCCTCATCTCTTGTTGTTTGTTATGTGCTGTAGACTTGGCCCAACTCATAGAGACCCCTCCTTGGGCTTCCGAGGCAGTATCACTACAGAAGTAGGATTGCCCAACCTTCCTTCCGAGAAGTGGCTGGTGGGTTTGAACCGCCAGCCTTCTGGTTAGCAGTCAAGTGCCTTAGGCACTATGCTACCAGAGCTCCTAATTCCACATTCCCATCACAGAGGATGGAGTCTTGACCAGGAGCAGAGATGGAGAGCAACCTGAGCCTGAGACCTGGGAAAGGAGAGAGGAGCAGACTGGTAGGGGGCAGCTTGGAAGAACGGAGAGTTAAAGGTGAGGGACTCTGGGGCCTTGGGAGTCCTGCCACAAGTCTCTCCCCATCAGGAAGAAGTTCATCTGAGCTGCTGAAAGGCAAAAGACAGCCTCTTTCTCTGCCTTAATGAGCCGTGGCCACAGCTGTAAGCCTAGGTCCCAAACATCCCAGACTTGTGTTTTCCCAGTGCCTGAGCCCAATGGGAGGAACAAATGAAGCAGTGAGCCCTGTGCTCCCCAAGAAGCTACTCACTAGGGTGTTCACAAAACCTCCTTGAGTACCATCCACCCCTCCTGAGCAGGTGTTCAGGTAACAGGAAGTCCCAAGACAAGAGACACAGGCAGGGCCTGCAAGAGGCTCCACCCAGACATCTGCTCCAGACTTCCCAGGCTCAGAGCCCAGAGCTCACCCAGGGCCCAGGGGAAGGCTGCAAACACAGCTCATAAGTCCTACCTTAGTCCTGCCAAGCTCCATACCTAGGCTTGAAAGCACCAGTAACTCCTCCCTCTTCAAAAAAAAACAACCCAGGAATATCAAAAAAAAAAAAAAAAAAACAACCCACTAACATAGCCCTGAACTCTCAGCTCTGGGCTTCCCTAACTCCTTGCCTGCAATCCAACTAAGCAGGCTTGACTTCATCCCCTGCGCCCCAGAAGCGTGCAGTAACCTCCTCTCTCCATATTCTAAGCTTGGCTTCACCACCATCACCACCACCACCACCACCACCACCACCACCAAGACAGCAGGGACAGGAGCTGTGGGCCTCCAGCTGAGGAATCTTGGTTGGGCTCAGGAGAGCTCCTTCTTCACTGTCCCAAGCTGTGACCTTGGTGTTCCTGGCGGCTAAGCCTAAGGGCTTTGGTTAGAAGAGAACATGGCCCCCAAGAGTAACGTATTCTGATCTCTGGAGTGAACCCAGTAATCCGTGGTGTGAGTGTAAGTTTCTGATTTTCTGGTGTTTTGAAGCTCCTCCTCTGACCGTAATCCACAGTTAGAACCAGTGTCTGGAAGGAGGTGGCTCACCAGTTGGCTTCCCTCATTTTCCCAGTCAGGACCTCAAATCCCTGCCCTTCCAGCTTACCTCAGGAGCCCTAACAGACAAGAACTCGTCTTGCTCCTCAGACCTCATGTCCCTTTTCCTGGAAGTCATACAACTTCACTTGGAAAGAGGGCAAGCAGATCTTACTGAACTCATCAAGGTGACCTGGGTTCTCCCTCTCTCCATCTATGGGGGGTTGGGAAGCCCCAGGAAGCAGAGGGTCAGTGCCATCCCCTAGTTCCCCACCACAAAGCCCAGGTCACTCAGCCAGCCAGTTCAGCCTTGCTGCAGTCCCAAGGCCACTCTTCACAAAACCTTGTGGTATCGATCCTAGAAGGGGCTTTCCCAGGTGCACATCTCCCACGGGGTGCATGCCCAAGCAAGCAAGGGAACTGGAGAGGCTCCTATTGGCTTCCAGGTCTCTCCCAGGCTGAAGCCCCACAGGGTGAGTCACAGTCCAGGTCTAGCTAGCAAGCCCAAGGGCTGGAATAGCCCATGCAGAGACTCCTCAAGGCCACCAGGTCCACAAATCCCCAAGGGGGAGGGCCAGGTAGGCAACATGGACCCCAGCTGGAGACCTTGGGACAGGTCAATCCATACCCAGACCTTTTGTTTTCTTTTTGGGGAGGAAGAGGGATGAAGCGTAAGAAACACTGTTCCCAGTTAACCATTCCTTTAGAAAATGAGGGTCCTGCCCATACTCCACCCCAGGACCTCCACCGAGTGACGTGAGGAGGGGACAGAGGAAGCCCCAGTGCAGACCTTGGGAGATCTGTAAGAAGCCAGTGCCCAATGCTGGGGCACATGGGCTGGGATATGGCAATGTGAAGCCTAGAAGGCTAAATAAATGAAAGTGGAGAGGTGGCAGGTAAAAGGATGGACACTATTCCCAAGCGTTCTGGGGCGACCTGAAACAATGGACCAGGAACTGATGAGCCTCACAGCAGGGTCAGACAGAGTTCTCACACACTGACCCTGAGGATCCAGCCTCTGCCTCTCAAGGGCCTTGGGAGTTGCAACCTTAGAAGCTTCCTTCCCAAACTCCACAGGGGTCAGGGCAGTAGAATCCTTTGAAGCGACTCTCCCAGCTCCTCCAGCCCCAAACCAGCAGCAGCGCTCAGCGTAATTAACTCCTGGACACACTATGACAACAGGCACGGTGCCAAGGAGAGAGTCAGCCTGTCACAGAGCTGGGCTCTTCTTCCTCAGCCTGGCCACCACCATCTCTGATCTAACCCAGAACCACCCCATGCAAAGGCTCCGGGCCTGACCCGGAGTAGTCTCCCTTTGCTCTATCCTCAGCCTCCCACACTGGTGGGAAGCCAGACTCTTCTTCCTCATTAGCAGCTGGGAGCCATCTCAGAACACTGCGGGCCAACAGGACAAGGCATGCTAAACTCTGCCAGTTCCGGACTAGAAAAACCACCGCGGACTTGAGGTGGGACTGAAGCCAGCGCAGTGAAACCCTGGTTTCTCAGTCAGGGCCCTCGAGACTCCCCTTTTCCAAAACTTTCTCATCATTTCCCAGGAACCCATCCATCCCAGGATCTACACAAGACTTCTCAGACCCCTACATTCCCCGGCTATTACAGCTCCTCCATCTCTCAGTTACTCGATTCCCACTCAAAGCGACACCGTAGGACAGAGCAGAACTGCTCCATAGGGTTTCCAAGCCTGTAATCTTTATGGAAGGCGACTACACATCGTTCTCCCGCGGAAAGGCTGGTGCATTCGAACCGCCGACCTCTCGGCCGAGCGCTTTAACAATGCGTCCAGGGCTCCTCAACGGAAACCCCATACCCTACCAACCGCGTCAAACCTTCCACCCCACAGACTCTCTTACCCTTTCCCCCAACTCCTCCACCACCACCCGGCCGCACCCTGAGGGTCTCTGGTCTTGTCCTCCACATCTCCCGGGAGCTCCCCGTGCAGGGCCCAGTGCTCTCTGCCCACGACACTCTTCCAGAGCCCTCACCCGGCGCCCTTCTGCCCCTGCCTGGGACGCCCTCGCGGCTTTACCCGCCCAGCCGCCTCCTTACCTGGTACGGCGATGCCGGGCCCGCGGGCCCCATGGGACGGAAGGCGGCGGTCCCGGGGCCCCCTACGCCTCCAGCCGGTCCTGGTCCCCTGAGCGCCGATCCCGGGAGCATGCCGGGTCCCGCGGGGGGAGGCGGCGCCCCCAGGGCCGCGGCCACTGCGCCGCCGCCGGGGCTCAGTGGAGGCAGCGGGAACCCGCCCGCGCCACGACCCGACATCGCTCCGTCCCGTCCGGCGGTGTTGCGATCCGGACTCCGGGCTTCGCGCCGAATCCGCTCCGCGGTCCGTTCTCCGGGACTTTCCGATGTAAATTCCGGGTTCTGCCAATCCGGATTCTGGGGTTTGTTGATCCTGGTTCCGGGATTTCCTAATCCAAGTTCGCGAGTTGCTCACTGACCCGGTTTGAGCTAGAGCCGATCCTGATTCCGCTCCTATATTGGAAATTCCGGATCCGGGATCTGCTACGCGCCCGCCTGCCGCCCCCGGCCGCCGCAAATTTGGCCGCCGGCTCCCAGTTTACCCAGAGGCTGCAACTAACTCCCTGCCCCGCCCAACGCAGCTCTGCACTAGGCCCCGCCTACATCTAGCAACCCAATGCTAGGACGCCTCCTCAAATCCCGCCCCTCGCGAGACCCGCCCCTAGCAGGCACCGCCCCTAACCGCCGGCCTCAAAGCCCCGCCCAGACGCCTTGGCCCGGCCTTTCCCCGGAGGGGCGGGAGAGGAAGCGTCGCCCGGAAACGTGAAGCCGGGCGCGGGGTTAGAGGTCGAAGGTCACATAAGGCTGCCACACTATCTGAGATAGTTGCTGCTGGTTCCCCGATGTGTCCGTGTCACGCAATTACCCGGCTATACTGCATGTAAATAGTTTTGTCAGTTATCGTTTCTACATTCTCAGCGTTAAGGAAGAACCTCTCTGGGGCAGAGGAACAGCTGCCAGCTCGACTTTTTATATAAAGCCCTTCCTGATGGCTCAGAGCTGCCAAAGGACGTCGGCGGTTCCAAACTCGATCCAGTTGTGTGAAGGGTTGGCTTGGCTAAATGCCGAGTTCCCGAGCATTTTAACAGGCCCTAGCCTTACTTTAAGGAAGTCCCATTACTTGACTCCATTTGAAGTTTTTCTAGGCAAAGAAAATTTGTACTATGAAAAATCTCCCTGAAGTTTAGTAAGGTGTTTCTCCTGTATTTACAGCTCTTCATTTTTCAAAAATGCACGGAGTTTATGACCTGGGGTCCTCCCCTGATACAGACCAGTACTTCTCAAGCTTTAACGAGCATACAAGACCCCTGAGGATGACATTAGAAATGTTGATTATGATTCAGTAGCACTGGTGGTGCAACAATTAATCACTTGGACTCTAACTGAAATGTCTGCAGTTTGAACCCACCAGTGGCTCCATGGAAGAGAGATCTGGCGATCTGCACCTGTAAAGATTGCAGTTGAGGAAACCCTGTTTGTCATTTCTACTCTGTCACATGGAGTTGCCAGGAGTCAAAATTGGCTAGATGACATCTAACAACAGTGAGGTCTGGGGAGGGCCCAAGAGTCTGCATTTCTAACAAGTTCCCGAGTAATGCTCTTGCTACTCAGACAACACTTTTGAGTAGTCAAGGTAAGAGGCTGTTTTGGCTATTTGGCCCTAAATCTCAGCTTTTATGTTTCCACCCCAACCAAGTTGATTGCACCCTGGCACCCTTGATTGTGTTTATAATACAGCCCTCCAATCCTTTTTATGGATTAGTTTTGCTGATTAGTACTTCCTTGTATCTTGATTCCAGATATAAATTCTGTCTTGCTGCTCCCTCCCTAAGAGCTCTGGTAGCGTAGTGACTAAGGCGCTTGACTGCTAACCAGAAGGCTGGCGGTTCATACCCATCAGCCACTCCTCAGATGGCAAGTTGGGCAATCTACTTCTATAGTGATACCACCTCAGAAACCCAAGGAGGGATCGCTATGAGTCGGGTCCGACTCGAGGGCACATAACAACAACAACAACAGCTGCTTCCCTGCCTGTTGCTTCTCTCAGAGCTTCCTCTCTTATTTCATCTTAAAAAATCGGTTTATCTGCCAGTCTAGGGACCAAAACCAAAAACTCATTGCCGTCGAGTTGATTTCCACTCATGGTGACCCTTTAGGACAGAGAATCAGCCCATAGGATTTCCCAGGCTTTAATCTTTAATGGAGCAGCTGGTAGGTTTGAGCCACCAGCTTTCTGGTTAGCAGCCAAGCACTGGACCACTGAACCACCAGGGCTCCTGCAACCTAGGTGACCAGAATTGTTACAGTCATTGAACAGTGGTCCCTTTTCCCCACCTGTAAGATGGGTAAAGTGTTCATAATAAGGTGGTTAACATCCATTTCAACCCTTTCGGCTCCTTGAGCATAGTTCTCCAGGAAGTGGTATGAGGTGGTAGAAAGAATCACCTGGGGAGCTATTCCAAACTATTCCTACCGGCCCTCTCCTTGGAATCCAATGTGGGGGCTGCTCCCTATGTTGTATTTAAAAAATAAGCCTCCCAGGTATTTCCGATACAACCCTTCTTGTAGAGAACCATTACTCTGGAACTAGGCAATGCATTTAAAAATGGATAAAACAGTCCAATGTAATTCAGCTCCATTTAATCCCTTGCTTAAAACCCTCCCCAGCTCCTCATTTCTCTTAGATTGAATGTCACACTCCCATGACATACAAGGCTCTGCAGTACCTGGCACCTGCTTACCTCTTTGGCCGTGTTTTAAATCTCAACCATTGCCTTTCTAAGAGCCAATAAGCAGATGGTCTCTCTGTAGTTTCTGAAACTGCAAGCCCTTTTTTTACCTCACAGCCTTCTGTTCCTAGCTCGTCCTAATTTCCCACCCTCTCCCTTACTTCCTTTACTTCCCACCAAGTGCTTATCACAGTATGTCATTGTGCACTATGTTACCTATGTGTGACTAGTTTACTTTCACCACCACTCATCTGCCACTTTGCTGTACTGTGGTGGGCTTGTGTGTTGCTGTGACACAGGAAGTTATCCTACTAGTATTTCAAATGCCACCAGAGTCACCTATGGTAAGTGTCAATGGAAATTCCAGACTAAGATAGACTAGGAAAGAGGAACTGGAGATCTACTTCTGAAAAAATTGGCCAGTGAAAACCATATGAATAGCAGTGGAACACTGTCTGATATAGTCCTGGATGATAAGCCCCTCAGGTTGGAAGTCACTCAAAATACAACTGGGGAAGAGCCACCTCCTCACAGTAGAGTCGATAATGATGTGAGTGGAATAAAGCTTTCAAGACATTTGCTGATGTGGCACAACTTAGAAGAAACACCTGAAAGCACCTATTACTAATTCTGATATGGAATGTATGAATACTAATTCTGATGTGGAATGTATGAAGTATGACTAGGAAAATTGGAATTTGTCAAAAATGAAATGGAACACATAAAGGTGGATATCCTAGGCATTGGTGAGCTGAAATACACTGGTGTTGGCCATTTTATATTGGACAATCATATGGGCTACTGTGCCAGGAATGACAAATTGAAGAGGAACAGCATCTCATTCATTGTAAAAGAAAAAAAGAAAAAAAAATTCAAGACCTATCCTGAAGTACAACGTTGTCAGTGATAGGATAATATCCACATGCTTACAAGGAAGACTAGTAATATGACTATTATTCAAACTGACCCACAAGCCATTAATGCCAAAGATGAAGAAATTGAAGATTTTTACCAGCTTCTGTCTGAAATTGATCAAACATGCACTCAAGATGCATTGATAATTACTGGTGATTGGAATGCAAAAGTTGGCAACAAAGAAGGATCAAAACTTGGGAAATATGGCCTTGATGATAGAAATAATGCCAGAGATTGCATGATAGAATTTTGCAAGACCAAGGACTTGTGCATTGCAAGTACCTTTTTTCAACAACATAAATGGTGACTATTCACATGGACCGTACCAGATGGAATACACAGGAATCAAATTAACTATATCTGTAGAAAGAGACAATGATATCAATCAGACAAAGGCCAGGAGCTGACTGCTGACAGACCATAAATTGCTGATATGCAAGTTTAAAAAGAAGCTTAAGAAAATTAAAACTAATCCATGAGGGCCAAACTGTGATCTTGAATGTATCCTATTTGAATTTGAAAACATTATCAATATGGTCCGTATTTGTGCCTATTCCAAAGAAAGGTGATGAACAGCTTGTGGAAATTATACATGCAGTAAAATTTTGCTGAAGATAATTGAAAAATGGTTGCAGCAGTACATCAACAGGGAACTGCCAGAAATTCTAGCTGGATTCAAAAGAGGATGTGGAATGAGGGACATTGCTGATGTCAGGTGGATCTTGGTTGAAAGCAGAGAATACCAGAAAGATGTTTACCTGTGTTTTATTAACTATTTAAAGGCATTCTGTGTGGGTAATAAGAAATTATATATAATACTGCAAAAAAAAAAAAAAGGAAATTCCAGAACACTTAACTGTGTTCATAAAGAACTTGCACATAGACCAAGAGGCAGTCATTCAAACAGAACAAAGGGATACTCTGTGGTTTAAAAGCAGGTGTGGATCAGGGTCGTATCCTTTTACCATATTTATTCAGTTTGTTTGCTGAGCACATAATCCAAGAAGCTGAACTACATGAAGAAGAAGGTGGCATCAGGATTGGAGGAAGACTTACTAACAACCTGTGATATGCAGATGATGCAACCTTGCTTGCTGAAAGTGAAGAGAATTGAAGCACTTACTGATGAAGATCAAAGACTACAGTCTTCAGGATGGATTACATCTCAAAATAAAGAAAATGAAAACCCTCACAACTAGACCAATAAGCATCCTGATAAATGGAGAAAATACTGAAGTCAAGATTTTAATTTTACTTGGATCTATAATCAACACCTATGAAAGCAGCAGTCGAGAAATCAAATGATGTATTGTATTAGGCAAATCTGCTGGAAAGCATCTCTTCAAGGTGTTGAAAAGCAAAAAGGTCACTTTTAGGACTAAGGTGCACCTGTCCCAAGCCATGGTATTTTCATTCACCTCATATGTATGTGAAAGCTGGACAGTGTGTAAGGAAGACCAAAAGAGAATTGATACCTTTACTTGTGGTGTTGGAGAAAAATATTTAATATACCGTGGACTTCTCGAACAAATAAATCTCTCTTGTAAGAAGTACAGCCAGAATGCTCCTTAGAAGGGAGGATGGTGAGACTTCCAAAGTGGACATGTTATTAGTAGGGATCAGTCTCTGGAGAAGGACATCATGCTTAGAAAAGTAAGAGTCAGTGAAAAAGAGGAAGACACTCAATGAGATGGATTGACACAGTGACTGCAACCATGGGCTCAAACAGCAATGATTGTGAGGATGGCACAGAACTGGGTGTGTTTCATTCTGTTGTACAAAGAGTTGCTATGTATAGCATTCTGTTTACATGAGTAGGAACCAACTCAATGGCATGTAACAACAAAGTTTACTGTCAGGAAGCCCTGGTGGTACAATGGTTAAGCACTCAGCTTCTAGCAGAAAGATTGGTGATTAGAACCTACCAGCTGCT